TGGCTCTTTAGCCAACCCTAGTGTTCTTGTATGAAGTGTATGAAGACATGGAAATGTGAGACATAAATTTTTCTTCAAAAAAACCCAATAGCTCACCAGACCACAATTACAGATAAAGGTAAAAGCTCTAAACTTTCTCATTCTTTCAATCCCAATTCAAGCTTTTGATATCAGCTTTAGAATGGATTTGTAACAAAAACATTTGTCGGTCCTTTTTTGCCGTTAGCAATTTAAGGCTTTTCTTGTTTTTCTCAGCACCAATCCTTTACTTTTATCTATTTTGACTATCATTCAATGCAGAATAAAATTTCGCGTCGAATGATACCAAAACTAACTTAAAATGTAACCTCCATGCAAAGTTATGAGGCAAAAGGTTAAGTCCCGCCCATAATGGACCGGGTTTAGGTTTTTAGCCAACAACTTTCCATGGATATTATATTTTGAGTTGATTTTGGTATCATTCGACGCGAAATTTTATTCTGCATCAAATGATGAACAAAATAGACAAAAATCAAAGTGTTGGTGCTGAGAAAAACACGAAAAACCTTTTATCAACGATAAAAAAGACCGACAGATGTTTTTCTTACAAGTTTACTGTAGAATATGCAAAATGCGGCGGCTTGGGGTCGAGCTTTCTCCGATGCGGCTCGTCAACATCCAAATGGAGGACCCTTTCAATTTGAGGGGCCGGGCGGAGTCCCAATGAAGGGTTTCATCAAAGGAGTCTCGTTTGTCGTCACAAGTGCGCCACAAACTGGAGGCAAGTGAAGATTTTGGGTTTGTTAATCTTATGACAACTGATGCAAACAAACATTAAGCTATCAAGCTTTATAGGAAACTCTGAAGAGTCACACGATCAACCTCCAAGACCGATCCCAGCTCCAAGCGTTCCACTCGAGTCAACGAATCGACCAAACGTTGGCTCATTTGCTGCTGATATTGCTCCTTCGCAACAGGTTTGTTCTAAAGAAATGTCCTAAAGATTTGAATCACTTGTGAATAATGAAAATAAAGAATTTGAAAAGTTTCAGGATGATTCAAGTATTGAAAACAACGCCGAGCCAAATTTGAAACAAAAAACGACAGTGCTTGGTCCAATGAAATGCGTTGAGAAAATGGAGAATGGGGTAAAAAGAACTAAAAAAACTTTTTAAATCAGTAAATACTACAAAAGATCTTCTATTTAGCGTTAAAAGTACTGTAAAATTCTAATAAAATCAAAGCAGGAGAAAAGTTTAAGATTAGATTGGTGTTTGTCTTTACAATTTTTTTCAAAACGCCATGAAAAATAATGCCAGCAAAATTTCTATTTAAACTATTAAAAAGGTTATTTGTTTCTCTGCAAAATGGCTTTTGAGAAGTTCTTGGAAGTCGTTGTTTTTGTGGATTTTCAAAGGTGCAAAGGTCCGCACTGAAAGCTGCTTCAATGCTAAAGTCGACATTTGGACACTTTCTTCAATACAAATCTATTTTAGTGTAAAAGTAAAAAAGATAGAGCTTATTTGATTGCTTCATTCTTTAAAATTTGAAACCGATCCGTTCAACTATTTTCTTTAAAATAACAATTGAAAATTTTAGATTTTTAGCGAGTTATGGTGAGCTTTGAGCTCTCTAAAAGCTTTGAACTTTCTCTAAAGGCTTTTAGCTCTCTGAAAGCTTTGAGCTCTCTCTAAAAGCTTTGAGCTCTCTCTAAAGGCTTTGAGCTTTCCCTAAAGGCTTTGAGCCCAAAGGCTTTAGCTTCTCTAAAGGCTTGGCTTCTCTAAAGGCTTTGAGCTTTCTCTAAAAGCTTTGAGCTTTCTAAGTTGAGCTTTCTCTAAAAGCTTTGAGCTTTCTCTAAAAGCTTTGAGCTTTCTCTAAAAGCTTTGAGCTTTCTCTAAAAGCTTTGAGCTTTCTCTTTGAGCTTTCTCTCTTCTCTTTCTCTTTTGTAAAGAAATTATAGATCTTTTCTAAATAGTTTTGGTAATTTGGTACAAATTTTTGAATAGTTTTGGTAAAATTTGGTAAAATTTGGTAAAATTTAGTAAAATTTGATAAAATTGGTTACAAATTTGGATACAAGATACAAAGAATTCTTTTCAATGAAAAGAAAAGTTAGGAAAAAATTGTAAAGACTTATGCACCAACCTAATGAGTCGGTAATATCAGGGTTATTCCAGAAAGCCAGATCAGTTTCAAAGCCAAAATATCTGGCTAAGCAGGACAAAATCAGTTCAGACACTATTTTGAACCATTTTTCGTCTTTGAAAGCCAAAGAAGTCAGGGCTTTGGAGCTTGGCTTTGGAGCTTGGCTTTGGAGCTTGGCTTTGGCTTGTTCTGAAATTTCTAGGAATAACCCTGGTCAAGACACCGTAAAGTTACAGTACTCTGTCTGACTATAATAAACTAGCTACTAAAAGTATCCAACCGATAAGGCTAAGCAGGCTAAGCACTATAGTCAGACAGAGTAACTTTACGGTGTTCTGACCAGGGTTATTCCCAGTTCAGACACTATTTTGAACCATTTTCTGTCTTGAAGTCAAGTTTTAATCGGCTGGAATACCTTCATCTGCATTTTGTAATGCTAAAAAATATTTGAAAGTCGAAAGTCTACAGAGGTTTCATTAGATCTTTTATGATAGATCAATTTCAATTAATTTGATTTGTATTTGATTTGTAAGAGACTTTTCTAAAGGCTCCAAGACTTGAATTCATCGAAAATTTCCAGGTTCGCGCCTTTGTCTGTCTACCGACTCAATAATCATTTTTCAATCTTGAACATTTACTAAAATAAATAGTTATTATTCGTTTAAAGAAATCGATAACAAAAAAAGTGTTAATAAATTGATGAAAATTGAGAAAAAAAATGAGATTTGAGACGAAGGATTTTTGGAAACGCCGGCTCGGTATCTAAATTATGAAATAAAAAAAGGATGATCGATTTTTTAACAGAAATTTATTTATTTTAAGATCTTACTGTGTCAACACTGCACTTTACTTACCGTACTGTCTTACTGTACTTTACTTACTGTACTGTCTTACTGTACTGTCTTACTGTACTTTACTTACTGTACTTTACTTACTGTACTGTCTTACTGTACTTTAACTAGCTCTAAATATGTATCAACAATCTTACTGTATCAACAATCCGGGTCCACATCCATCAATCGAGTCACACGCCCATTGATAACTTAGGTAGAGTCTCGTCGAGCTGAACTCGGCATTGCAAACCGCGTTGTTTGGTGTGTAACTGCAAATTTTACAGGTTTTATAGTTATGATTTTTTGCAGGCTTGTTCTAAAGAACTTTTCCCAGTCAAACCGACTAGAAAAGTTCATAAATCAAGAGATTCAAAAGGTCCTAATTTGCCAGAAACCAAGTTTCGCTTAGCTTATAAGAGAAAAACCCCAGCTCACCAACGCCGATTTTCAGACGCCCAAGAAGTTATAGAGGCGACTAATAGAAACTAAGGTGATCAAATTGTCGCAAAAATTAGCTGCCCATACTTGAAAAGTTCGGTTTCAATACGGTTCCAATATAGTTCCAATACGGCTTCAATACGGCTCCAATACGGTTCCTATTTTGATCTAATTCGGTTCCACTACGGTTCCTATTTTGATAATCAGCTTAATAATCAGAAAAATTAGCGAAAATTAGCTTTATAGAAGTTTTCAACATCTCGGTTAAAAGGTTTTTTTCGTGTCGATCCGGGATGGTCTCGTGGTCTAGAGGATAAGGCTCTTGGATACAAAGCCAGCCAGGCGTTCCTGACTCGGGTTCGAGCCCCGGTCGCGCATTCCTTTTTTATTTTAACAAAACCAATACAAATATATTCTGTTCTTTTCATTTCCCTTTCTATATTTCGATAAATAAAGAAAGTTAATAACAAAAAAATAATCGAAAATAAGATTTTCTTCGTTTATATATTTTACCTACTCAAATTCGTAAAGAATTTCAGAATCCACAACTTTTAACATATTTAAATATGCTTAAATAAACTACTTTAAATAAACTGCTTTAAATAAACTTTTTAGTTTCCATCTATGTCAGAGATTATTAAGAATTTCGTATTGGATTGTCCAGTTATGAATTTTGGGACAATTTCGTGTGTTATAAGTCAAAAAACTATCGGGAAAGCAAGTCTTGGTGGCTGTAAGAGCTGATTGGATGCGTACGGAGTATGATTAAAGTTACACTACTGGACAATGAAATATCATATATGAAAAAAGATCGTCACTTTCGCGCGTCTGTAACCCCCTTGTCTTTACCGTATTTCTATTGGGTTGTCTAGTTATGAATGTGCGTTTTTACTATTTTGTAAATTTCTCAAGATATCCAACAGCTGTATTTGAGTGTTATATAGCATTCGAAAGCTGAAGATCTCCTCTACATTTTTGATATAAAAAGCTTTTGAATTTGTTCAGCTTTTGGGCAAATTGACTGCACAAAGGGAGAGATCGTTTTCGAAAAACCCATTCCAGTTTAGCTATTCCTCAAGTTTTATGGTGTAAAATAACCGCCCAGAAAAGAAAAGAAAAGTAAAGATGCTCTGAAATTGTAATATTTAAAAAAACTTGTATTGATATATCTATTGGCCAAACATCAAACGGTTAACTCAATTTGAGCGGAGTCAAAACTTGATCCAAAGGCACCCTTCCATTTTGTAGAGAAAAGGAACCAAATTGTAGAGAAAAGGAACCGAATTGTAGAAAAAAGGAACCGAATTGTAGAGAAAAGGAACCAAATTGTAGAGAAAAGGTCTTGATCCAAAGGCACCCTTCCATTTTTTGGCCACCTCTTCTGTGCAGCCAATTTGCCCAAAAGCTGAACAAATTCAAAAGCTTTTTATATCAAAATGTAGAGGAGATCTTCAGCTTTCGAATGATATATAACACTCAAATACATCTGTTCGATATTTTGAGAAATTTACAAAATAGTAAAAAACGCGCATTCATAACTGGACAACCCAATAGTTATCCAATCATTTGGCTAAGTTTGCAATGGCTAAGTCTCTATATAACTCACGTCGTTCCCATTTGGCTCTTTCCAACGTCCGTAATCACAGTCAATTTTCCGTTTAACGGGATTTTGTTGAGAAAATCGAGGGCAATCGATTTAGAGCTGGTACCCGACTGAAAAATCGAGCACTTACAGTCTTGCACTAGAGTCTTGCACGTCTTTGCAAGCTATAAAACAGTCACTTACATATTGAATGATGAAAGCATAACTCTTCACTGATGGATCGTTTGAAGTTAGGTATTTCGGTGACATCACCAAGCCGATTTCACTGGTGAAAGCTGTTGCCCATAATGAGTTGCCTGAAATGTTTTAAATTGACATTCAAATTTAGGCAGATACTTTGATTAGTGCAATAATGTTCAATCATTCCATTCTGAGTGCCTTCAAATTTCAGCGTAACATATTGACCAAAGAGGAAATCTGGTGGATTTGCAGCCGAAGTGTCGCATTGAGTGGCGTTACTAAAATCATTTCTGAAATAAATCAGTGCACATCGGCGCGAAATAAGGCAAAAATGCGTTTTCTATCGGATTTTTCTGGGAGTACCTTTTTTAGATGCGGAAAATTGTGCTGATTCCGAATCTGAAGGAATTTTTCAAATCCCTCTGACAGAAATTTTTAAAATTTAGGTTTAGCGGTTTTTTTGGTCATTTTGTATGGGAAATTTTGTGGTACCCTGCAGTTTGGGGCTCGTAACTCGACAACGAACAGTATATAACAGTATATAACACTTATTGACAGAGGCTTGCGATCTTTATTTTTGTAAAGATATGTGAGCGCTGATTTCATTTCTACCACCCTAATATTTGACTCTGACTTTTGCGCATTCTTTAACTTATCTGGGAAAATTCTCAACTCAAACCAGTTTCACCAAGAGGGTAAAAGAATTTTCCTTTTGTAAATTACCGTAAATGCTGTATTAGAATGACAGAATGCAGAATGACGCCAGAATGCAGAATGACACTTCTAGCAGAATGACACATTAGACCCTTCTTGTGGGGGTTCTATGAATAGATCTAGGCCTAAAACCTATTAACATTTTATTGGCAGTAAAATTTAAAAAGTTATTTTTGAAAAAATAGAAAAATAATTTTTTCAAAGAAATTATAAGGGTCCCCATATTGATTTTTTTTTGGAAATTCAAAGGGATCACGAGTAAATAAATAATTTCCCTTTTAAACGGGTTTTTTATACCTTTTGGACAAAGGACCATTGTTTAAAATGGTTTTAAACAAATTCTAAATTTTCGATTTGTGTGGTCCCCCCTTACCTACTTTTTGGATCGACCGCTTTTGCGAAAATGCGTTTTCTATCGGATTTTTCTGGGAGTACCTTTTTTAGATGCGGAAAATTGTGCTGATTCCGAATCTGAAGGAATTTTTCAAATCCCTCTGACAGAAATTTTTAAAATTTAGGTTTAGCGGTTTTTTTAGTCATTTTGTATGGGAAATTTTGTGGTACCCTGCAGTCTGGGGCTCGTAACTCGACAACGAGGGTCTAGAACAAAAAACGAAGGGATAAGTTTTATTCTAGAGACTCTTACGAACATTTTGATGCAAAAATCATCAAATTTGCTCAACTCTACAAAAAGTTATAACATTTTTTAAAAAAGAAATGAGAAAATCTAAAAAATTCTCTATTTCGCGAAACGCATTTCAGTGTGCAGATGTGCAGTGCCCAATTTCAATACAGTATTACAGGCTAAACATTGAATATCTTTTATCTAAATGCATTAAAAGAAATTAAAGGTAAAACCTTGTTATAGAAGTTTTGCAGTATTGTCAAAACAAAAGATTTAATTACCCAAAAATTCTATCCTCATCTTTCGTCGATGCTCCATAAAACATTTGATAATTCAATTGTCCGTGCGGCTTAAAAGTCATTCCAAAATAACCACCAACAGCTCCAGAGGCTTGATAAATGACAATAGTTTGTGATTGATTGGAAACAATTGAGATATTATTCGAGACAGTAGCTCCAAAGCAAGTGTTTGGGTTTGATTTGATGATGATGTCGGGATCTAGAACAAAGGCAACAATAAAACGATAATTCTGATTCTGATTCTAGATTCTGATTGTTCAATAGAATCTACTTTTCATAAACTATCGCTTACTTGTTGTGAAAAGTGCATGAAAACTCGTTGCTCCATCTAGTCTAACGATTCGAATTGTGATCAAATTTGAAGATATCGTCATTGGACTAGTGTCAGCAAAACTGAAAAAATATTAGCATTTTAGTAGATAGAGGTTTTTAAGACTAAACTTTTGGCAATAGAAGCTCTCGTTTGAAATACTGAAAAGGATTTGAAGATATTGTCATCGAGAATGAACTCTTTTTTATGCAGAACTAAAATTAGAGGAAACCAAAGTTGCCTTACTGTTGTCTATGTTCATCTCTATCAGAAAAAACAAAGCTTATTAAGTGAAACAGTAGTACTTGTCAACCTCCTTGTTAAACCAGTCGAAAAACCCCCTTAACAGCGAATTATTCCTGTCGCCATGGCGCAGCCAGGAGCGCGCTTATCTACGACCCACACGATCCGGGTTCGACCTCCCGTAGTGCCGCTCAATAATGACTTTTCTAATTTTTATTTTAAATAACACAACTATATTATATTTTAAGACTTTTGAAGGCCTAAAGACGGCTGAGAAAAAGCTCGTACAGACGGACGGACGGAAGGACAGACACTACTCTTTTACAGTGACAAAAAAATCATGGGCGCACCCTTTTGTTAATGTAATTGTGGCCTAATTTGAATTCAAAGGTACCAAGTTTGATATAGAGAATTGAAGCTCTGAATCTTATAAGTGCAACCACGATATAGCAACAATATAGTGATAATTGACTTCTTGGGTTGATGAGTATGAAATTTTTCTGCTTGTTAAAAGCTTCATATACCATATTTTCTCTAATGTAGTAGTGTACCCAGAGCGTCGCCTTAATTGCTCGAAATCTCAAGAACCGCTTATCAGAACCTATCAATGTGGGGTCGGAAAATGTAGCTGACGATGAGATCTAGTGGGGATTTGAGGGTTGAGCTTCTGCAAAAGCTTGGAAACCGTAAAATAGTCACCAACTCGGCTCGCCGGGGTGCACTACTATTAGAGAAAACACGGTAATCCATTCTTTATATAGTCAAAAAGGTCTATCATTGGTCTATCACAAAATGGCTTTTGAGAGATTCTGAAAAGCTTTGTTTTGTGGATTTTACAAACGTCAAAGCGTTTGTACCTAAATGCAAACAGTTTAAAATTAAAAAGTGTAAATTGAGTGGCACTACGGGGGTCGAACCCGGGTGATATGAGCCGTAGCTCCCGACTGGGCCACGGCGACAACGAGTTCGATTCGTCGTTTGACGGTGACACAACTAAAATATATTCTTATCACCTGCCTAACGGCGGCACTAGCTAGGTATCGTTGTCGCCGTGGCCCAGTCGGGAGCTACGGCTCATATCACCCGGGTTCGACCCCCGTAGTGCCACTCAATTTACACTTTTATAATTTTAAATGGCACAACTATATTATATTTTGGGACTTTTTAAAAGATTTCAATTTTTTTGGCCTAAAGATGGCTGAGAAAAAGTCCGTACAGATATACAGACAAACAGACAATGCTTTTTATATATTGGCTTTTTTGGCTCTGCCGCCCTTTACTAAAATAGCTGTAAAAACTTTTAGAAAAGAGATATCTCAAAACGGTTTTTACCAATCGATCCGTCTTGAATTCAGCTTTAGGATGAGCTATAAAACGTCTAAATTGGACAATTAGAAATTGGAATTTAAGGTACTTTCCCCAAAAAATCGGAAAGGACTTTTCCATCAACCCAATATCATAAATGTTACTTGTTCCATTTCAACGTTGTTCCCGTGATTAGCTCTCCATCGTAGACGTTCACCGAATAGCCATGTGGATTGTCGAAAAAGTTTGCAATGATTGATCTAAAAAGATCTTTCTTCAAGTGTTCTCAAACAAAAAACGGTCGTTAGATTTAAATTTTGTTTATCTGGGTAAGTTTTTTGTGGTTAAGTCGATTCAAATCAATCGTCATTCAACTCTTATTTCTATTTAAAGTCTATTTAAAGCTCAGGAATCTTAAAATTTGATTTTACATTAAGAAGAACTAGAAAAACAAATAATCTACTCACTTTTTGCAGCTCGTCGTGCTTATTTCATAGACGATCGCTTGAAAATTTTGTGTCAACATATCCCCATGAACATCCACGAATTCATCAACGCATAAATCTCTCTGGACAGTTGTTATCCTCACTGAAAAGTTTAAAATTCAAATAGAGCCAAAAGAAATGTTTTAAACATTGAATTGAAGTAAGAAAAAGTGACATCCCAGCATTCACATCATCGGGTCTATTTGTTGGGAATTTGGCTAATGAATTAAAAACGATTTCGAGATTATCACTTGAATCAAAAAGTCTTTGATTTGCTCGAACATTTAAGACACTAAACTTTGATTTAATCATTAAAAAACACTTTCTCTCACGCATTCCAAGAATTTTGTACATTTAACGAATCTGCATTCAGGAGTTGAATGTTTGGATCGATTTGGAGGATAGTCGTGCGTTCGTTTTTACTAAATCACTTTGTTTTTGTCATTCCAGCTTTATTCTAATTGTAAGCAAAGCTTTTTTTAATGATTTACTTTAGTAAAACATAGATTTACTATAGAAACGATAAATCCTGTCAGCATCAGCGTTTTTTTCTGGTTCGAAACACTCTTTTCCTACTCTTTTTGCTCTTTAGTTTACATTTTAAGAAGTTGTTTAAGTTGAAGAAGTTAAGCCAAAAAACAATAGCTTTATTTTTGATACCATAAATCATTTGTGTCAGCTCCGAGCCAAACTGATATTTTAGTTACTATTGTTATTATTGAATGATTTGTCTATTCTTATGCATAAGAATAGACAAATCATTCAAATGTGTTCTCCCCTGTGCTTATCCCTTTTATTGCCGAGAAGGGGCTGTCCTTGGGATTGCCTAGGAGAACAAATGAGATTTGTGAGTGACCTAGACAAGTGAGACTCTCATTTGGAGTCCCCCCTTCCCCTTACACTCATTTGTAATCTATTCATCTTATTGTATTACTGTAAATAACTCTTCCGGGTCTATACAACTGCAGTACAGGTCGGTCATTTCACAGGGACTCCCCTCTAATACGTTGGAGGAGTTGAGTTGGGTTGGTTTGGTTGTCGGGGTGTTAGAGATGGCGGGATATCAAAAGGGATCCACTCTCTTTAACTTAACCCAAATTCTAGTCCACATCCGTTTATACCTAGAAACGAATAAGTCACAACACAGCCGAGAGTCGAACCCGGGTTGTGTGGGCCGTAGACAAGCACGCTCCCGACTCTAGCAACTACTAGTGAGACTCAAAGCCTTCAACTAATTCTTAACCCAAATTCTAGTCCACATCCGTTTATACCTAGGAACGTATATTTGTAAAAAAAAACCATTAAAAAACTAGCTTGATAACCGTTGAAAAAACTGAATTTTTTGGCATTCAGTCTACAGTTCAAGGCCAACTATTCTCCAAAAATGTCTAGATATTTTTCCACCATAGCCAGCTAAGAGCCGACTGCCTAAGAGTTGGAAGGTTAAGGGTTCAATACCGCTAGATTATTGGCACTTTTTTCCCATATATATTGGTTTTTTTCTTCTCTACATTTAGGGATTAGGGATTAGGGCGCTTGTGTATTGTTTGTACCATATTATTCGTGTGAATAACTGTTTACTGGTTCAAACTTTTTAAGCAAAATTAACTTACACAGTCCAACTGCACTGTGCCGGACTACAATAGGGAAAAGTCCCATTAAAGCCATAAGTGACATTCTTCGACTCTGGCGGTTTCAGAGTGATTTGTGGGTTTGAGCAGGAGCAATCTAAACTGATTATCGGATATTTGATACGTGCCCCGTCCCTTCTCTCATTGGCAATCTAACTTTAAGCTCAAATATCTTGGTGTTCCATTGTCCAATTTAAATATTCTTTGCATCATAAGATGCGCCCAGTCTTTCTCTGTCGATTGGTATAAAAACTATGTCGATTGAACAGCTCAACACCAAGAAATTTGAGCTTAAAGTTAGATTGGATGCGCTAAGTCTTTCTCTATCGATTAGTATAAAACTATTTAAATGGAACGGGCCAATATCAAGAAATTTGCGTTCGAAGTTGGATTGCCAATGGCAAAAAGGGCGGGGCCATTGTGGGACCTTTTATACGCGCCCCGCCCCTTTTCCAATTGGCAATCTAACTTTAAGCTCAAATATCTTGGTGTTCCATTGTCCAATTTAAATATTCTTTGTATCATTAGATGCGCTAAGTCTTTCTCTATCGATTGGTACAAAAACTATATCAATTGAACAGCTCAACACCAAGAAATTTGAGCTTAAAGTTAGATTGCCAATGGCAAAATGGGCGGGGCCATTGTGGGACCTTTTATACGCGCCCCGCCTCTTTTCCCATTGGCAATCTAACTTTAAGCTCAAATTTCTTGATATTGGGCTGTTCAATTTAAATAGTTTTATACTAATCGATAGAGAAAGACTTAGCGCATCTAATGCTACCAAGAATACTTAAATTGGACCTTTTATACGCGCCCCGCCCCTTTTCCCATTAGCAATCCAACTTTGAACGCAAATACCTTGGTGTTCAATTGTCCAATTTAAATATTCTTTATATCATTAGATGCGCCAAGTCTTTCTCTATCGATTGGTACAAAAACTATTTAAATTGAACGGCCCAACATCAAGAAATTTGAGTTCAAAGTTGGATTGCCAATGGCAAAAAGGGCGGGGCGCGTATAAAAGATCCCACAATCATCTAAAATTGGTCAAACTTTTGAAAACTTTCTTAACTCACCAACAGCTGTCACTGATCCACTCATTTGCGTATACGATTCAATGCTGTCAGTTAAAAAGGAAAGTTTGAGTTCGTTTTGTGCTGCATAGACGAGAGACCATGGATAGTAGCCATCAAATTTTAGAGGCTAAAAATTTACTTCATTCATTTTCAGATCCAAGACAGTGCAATGAATGACTGAAACTTTAAAAGCCAGCTGGGTTACGGTAGCTTTGCGCATCTTTTAGAAAACAATCGAAAAGAAGAGATCCCAGCCTTTTAAGCATTTTAATTTTGCATGAAGCTTTTCTAAAAGATAGGTAACGATACCGTAGTCTTTTTTTAGACGTTTAGCGATGATTTCTGAATTGAATGAATTTGATGAATTGAATGGGATCAAAAGCAAAAAGGACAAAAAAGAAAGATTACTTATAGAAAACACTCGATACAAGATTTAAATGTTTAATCTTCACTGGGAGTTGTTTCTTTGTTGTTCTAGAGGTGTTCTCTAAAGCTACAGTAATCTCGTTAACTTTCTAAGTTTCATTCATTGACAGATACGGTTGATTGAAGTCTGTTTCCCGTAATTAATCGAGTAAAGTTGGAGAATTAAAATTTAAATCGATTAATCGTCGATTAATGCGGGATTAATGCGTTTTTTAATCGCACCTTAGCCTTAGCCAACTATTCAGCTAATTTAAATTAAGTTATTAAAGATCGTAGCAAAATCTAACGTTTAATTTTTATATTTTGTCTTATTTTGTTCTCGATTAAAGATTGAAGTCGATTCTTTTTCGCATAAATCACATTTAGCGAATAATGTCTGGTTGTTTTCCATTGCCATACTAAAGACGGTAAACTAGGCTGTTTTGACATTTGCTTAAAATAATTGGAGATTGTTCTTTAATCAAAAGTATTGCGTAAATATTTTTCCTGTATTTTTTGATTTTTGCTTAATAAAGAGAATGATTTCTATCGGTATATTCTAAAATTTCAATTAAATAAAATAAATTTGAAACGAAGCAGCTAATGAGATTTAGATACATTGCTCGGAAGCATACATTGCTCTGAAGCATACATTGCTCTGAAGCATACATTGTTCGGAAGCATACATTGCTCGGAAGCTTTACATTGCTCAGAAGCATACATTCCTCGGAAGCATACATTGCTTACATTAGATACATTGCTCAGAAGCAGCTAACGAAGAAAAAGAATCACTATTTTTTTGTAATGAAATGAAGCAAACGAAAAATAATGTTTTTCCGTTTTCATATATTCATTTTGCCTGTTTTCTTGACAGGATAACGATACTTTTTCTCGGGAGCGCGTTTTAGAAAAAGTATTAATCGCAAGGGAAAGACTCTGTGGCCATAGCCGAGTGGTTAGGAGTCTTGTGTCCTGTATAGAATGAGGTCACTAAACCATTTTCTAAAAGCATCTATTTTTGAAAACTACCGTAATCATCATTCCAGTTTTCATTAGATCAGCCCAACTTTTGTATTATTCAATGAGAAATCACAAGGTGTCAGTCAACGATATAAAAATTGGACTAACTGGATGCAAACTTGCAGCTAAATTCTTGTAAAGGTCATGGGCTCGATCCCAGCGGCTAGAAAATTTGGCTCTTTCTCCAAATGCATGGGTTTTTCTCTGCAAAATCTTTAGGGCAGCCGTGCGTTAAGTTGTGTATTTGTTTGTGTCACCTAATTTATGTTGAATAAATGTATACTGTTGATCCTATTGAAGGCAAAAACTATTATCGTATTTTCTCTAATAGTAGTGCACCCTGAGCTAAATTGCTCGAAATCTCGAGAAGCGCTTAACAGAACCTATCGTTATTTAGTTATGTAGCTATATACCGTATTCTCTTTAATAGTAGTGCATCTTAAGCCTTGCCTTAATTGCTCGAAATCTCGAGAAGCGCTTATCAGAACCTATCGTTATTTAGTTATGTAGCTATATACCGTATTCTCTTTAATAGTAGTGCATCTTAAGCCTTGCCTTAATTGCTCGAAATCTCGAGAAGCGCTTATCAGAACCTATAGATATGGGGTCGGAAAATGTAGCTGACGATGAGATCTAGTGGGGGATTTGAGTGTTGAGCTTCTGTGAAAACTTTAAAACCGTAAAATAGTCATCATCTCGGCTCGCTTGCGTGCACTACTACCGCAAAACTTTCAGTACATGTACGTCAATTTTTCAAGTACCCTCTAGAGCGTACGTCTATTAGAGCATGTACGTCGAAGAGAGCATCTTCTAATATACGTGCATGCTCTATTCGACGTACATGCTCCAATAGACGTACACTCTAGAGGGTACTCGAAAAATAGACGTATATATACGCATATTAGAAGTATTACGGTACTAGAGAAAATCCGGTAACTCCAAAACGCTAAACTTACATCAAACGCGGTGCCGGTCACCCACAGAATATCGCAACATCTTTCCGTATACGTTGTCACTTGTAGCATCAATTGTGTATTCTTTGGCGCATTGTAAAAGTTCCAGGCACAATTTGAATTGTTCATATATCCATATGAGTCATCTAATGCAGAGAGACTAACGGAGCTTCGTGTACTCATATCAAAGCTGCCCACATTGTTGCAAGAGTCAAATGAATACGTCTCTAAAAAGTTTCTTGTTTCAAAAGTTGAGATTTAGTTCAGTTTCAAGGTTTTTAAGGTTGATTGAAAGTTTCGGTTAACCTAAAGATACGATAATCTGACATTTCAATACTTATTGACCAGTTTTAACACTAAATCGATTCACTATAGCAAAAAAATCCAAAGTTTCATAAAAGCATGATGCAGTAGCAAAGGTTAGCTTTAGAATTCGAACAGGAATTTCGTCATTTACATTTAAATTTTACGTTCCACGTTTAGATTCAGAAATCCCAACCCTTTCAGCGTCTAATGGTACCAATTTGAGTCAATTCCGTTAAAAAATTTTATAAATCTATTTTGAAAAAAAGCATTTAGCAGTCTTTTTATTTGAAAAATTTAAAATTTGTTAATAAACAAGATAGAAAATGAAAAGAATTGCAAATTTTAGTTGATTATTTACACTGAAATTACACTAGGCGTAAAGGTTGTATTACAGATTGGCTGACAGCGCACAAAATCGGCACTGTCGCTTGGCCCGCTTGCAGCCCAGACTTAAAACCGATTGAGAATGTGTGGGGGACACTCGTTCGAGATGTCTACAAGGGAAACAAGCAATATTCGAGCGTGAATGAACTCAAGAAAGCCATTCAAGTAGCCTGGAATCGGCTTCAGCCAACAGCGCTCCATGACCTTGTCTCTTCGATGCCGAGACGTCTTTTTGAAGTTGGACTAAAGCAAGGAGGAGCCACACATTATTAATTTATTTGGTTTGCGTTGTTATTTTTATTTCTGTTAACTTTTTCTTGATAAAATAAAAGCGCGTCTATAATTTTTTGACAGCTGATAAAACGTTTTTTGTACGATAAAGTACTTTGGATGAGTGAAATGACTTGAAATTTTGCATGGGTTGTTTTTTTACATTAAAGAAACTAAAAAATACTTTTCACTGGACTAGCACTTATATCCGGCTCTAAACTAGCAAAAAACAGGGGGCGTCGATAATTTTTTGACAGAGTGTAGTTCTAATTTCTTTTTCTGAAATCATTTTGAAAATTATTTGTAAGTAAAAATTTCAAACAATTTTACCATTATATCGTTCAACGATTAAATAGTAGTAATACTGCTGATCAGCGGTGAAATCGAACGATAAAGTGAGATCTTTTTTGAAGTAATATGCGAGTGGATCTTTTGAACCGCTGAAATTGAATTACTGATGAAAAATCTATTGGGTATAATTGAATTACTGATGATAAACTATTTAAATTGTGCTATTCAAGGTACTTGTTGCATTACAGACACTAGAAGACACGTTTTAAACATTAAAGTTTCAAATTTTCCAATTGAGTTAAAAACTGTAGACAAATTCGCTGTAAATCAACTGTAGCCTACTTTATATAGTCTTTTAAAGTGTGTCAACTTACAAAAACTATCCTAATTTTGTGTTTAATAGCGTACGTTAAGTTAAATGTCGTTTGATCCGTCTCATTTGCCTTGATGCCCGTGAAAAACATTGGTTGTGAAGAAGAAAAAGCGTAGATTGCCACTCGAATATTTGTACTGTCGGCAGTGGTGAATTTGATTTGGCAGCTCACATTCAGCGTTCCATAATTAATCGTTGGAGTGTTGATGAAAAAATCTGAAAAACTTCTTGGATAGCTATGAAGAATCTGAATTTTTTTTGAATATTCAGGTATTCAGTATTTACGGCGACTTCTTTTTGGTAGATTAGCTCCCAAGCGCCAAGTTCAACCCTAATGCGTTACGTGTTATATAAAATATTGAAGCCCTTACTCTTGGCTACATTTTACTATTAAGAGTTTCCCGATTGAAGATCTACAACTCATTTTACAAGCTCGTGAATGAGTACTAGTTGATGCCTCGCCGGCACGCTGCTATTTTTGGCGATTTTTGGCGATTTTTATTATAATAAATTGTTAGAAAAAGTTTTTCGATATTTATTTTATGTTAAAATATTATTTAGCACGATTTAATAACATTAAGAACTGTTTTTGACCAAAGCGTCTTACTGAAATTTGAGTTAAAGTCAAATTCCTTTCGTGGCGCAAGAAAAGAAGTGCAAATTGAGTATTTTTCGATGTTCAGTTCATATGTGCTCCTTATTATGTTAACTGATCTGATGCTATAAATTTGATGAAAACGATTTTTAGAAAAAATACCACAAATTTGACCGAAAGGAACTCTTTCTGATTGAAGAATTTTTTTATGAAGAAAATCGTTAAAAATGGCAGCAGGAGAAGAATCAATTAGTACTCATTGAAAGGCTTGTAAAATGAGTTGTATATCTTTAATCGGGAAACTTTTAATAGAAAAATGTAGCCAAGAGTAAGGGCTTCAATATTTTATATAACATTTAACGCATTAGGGTTAAACTTGGCGCTTGGGAACAAAAGTCTACCAAAAAGAGTTCCGTAAATACTGAACATCCTGTATAGAATGAGGTCACTAAACCATTTTCTAAAAGCATCTATTTTTGAAAACTACCATAATCACCATTCCAGTTTTCATTAGATCAGCCCAATTTTTGTATTATTCAATGAAAAATCACAAGATGTCAGTCAACGATATAGAAATTGGGCTAATTGGATGTAAACTTGCAGTTAAATTAATTCAAGGCCAGATGGCCGACCGGTTAGAAGTCTTGTCTTTTAAGCGGAAGGTCGAGGGTTCAATCACGCTGGCAAGATAAAAATGTTTCTTTTTCCCACCAAGTGGGTTTTTTCTTTCACAACATTTGGGTAATAGGGATAATAGGGGTAACGGCCGCAGTGCCATAAAAATTGTGTATTTAGACCGTTATGTCTTATTATGTATCCTTTGTTTGTATCACATTATTGGCTTTCAATAAATGTATTTTAAATTACGGTGGTTTTCTAGTGCGTTTTAGAAATCTCATGTTTAGAAATTAAAGCAAAAACGAACGATCCGAGGCGAGGCTCCACCATTCGGAGAGATGATCCAAATCGACACTGTTCACTTTCTCGCAATGGTTGTAAATTTGGGCTTTCTTATCTGAAATTTGAGACATTGTCTACAATAAAAAAATTGCTTCCAAAAAATCCTTATCTTATAAAAGCAAAATGATCTCACCTATCGGAAAGACCCTTCCATTATATCCGGGGTATGGAACGCTCGTGTTCTGCGAGACAAAGAAAACGTACAAAGTGTCTAAACAATAACATTTAGCAAAAACAATCACAGTTCACTTATTTCGGATGACTTAACTTAAAAATCGGATGACTTAACTTCAAATCTTTTCTCTATATCTATCTGTTATCAGTTTTTTTGATCAAAGAATGGGGAGATTTTTGAATCTCTAATAGTAGTGCACCTGGCCGAGCCAAGTTGATGACTGTTTTCTAGTTTCCAAGTTTTCACAGAAGCTCAACTCTCTAATCCCTCACAAGATCTCATCAGCTACATTTTCCGACCTCACATCGATAGGTTCTGATAAGCGGTTTTCGAGATTTCGAGCAATTTAGGCAAGGCTCAGGGTGCACTACTAATAGAGAAAATACGGTATATAGAATTTTAAAAACGATTCCTGTACTCCTTGTTTTTGATTGCGTAAATCAAACAAATAATTGTGAAAAAAGAACGATTCAAGGATAAATGGGAAACTTAAACGGGCTAGGTTCGATTGGAGTTGGCTAGAATTTGTAGAAAAACAGCAAAAAGGCAACAATTGCTCACAAATGATTAAGGACTGATTTAAGGCAAAAATAGAAAAATTTGGGCATAGCGACGGCGAAAGGGGAAAAGAAAACGCGGAAAGCTCGAAGGAAAAGCCAAGCACCTTATGCCAAGATCATATGCCAGACCGCGAGCGATTACTCGGCCACACAAAGAACGCCAGTCATTTACACCAGGAATTTTCTTTTCTTTGTAGATGGTTTAAAAAAGGAGATATTCAGCTATAAATTTGTACCCAAGGGTTTTCGGCGTCGCAGAATCGATTAGAGCTATTCATTTTGTCAGAACTTTGAAGATTTTAAGTCTAAACAAGCCTGATAGTTCGTAGTAATGTGATGGTCTTCTGTGATCCATTTCATTCCCACATTTCTTCACCAACGTGGCATTCAATGAATCCATTTTTCTAGAGCTTTTGATAAAAGCAATTTCTAGTAAACCTTACGCCAAGCATAGAGACGAATCGTTGATAGCGCAGAAATAAAGACAATCATTTGGCGCCAAAGCGAAGCGCTCGAATTGAAACGCGTACGCCCTCTCAGAATCCTTCTCCATTTCCAAATGCAACACTAATCTGTAAATTTTCAACTTAGTAACTGATTTAGTATTCAAAGATTTCATTCTACGACACCTGGTTCCCTCGTTTGTGTAAAAATTTGGGTAATTTGGACTCGAAAAGTCCAGAACATCGTTGAAATAGCGGATCTAAAGTGGAATTGGGGCAAGAATTTGGTAAAGTTTTTGGTTGGCTTTGAGCATTTCATTTGAAAAGCTATTTAGAAAAGCCTATTTATTTGAAAAGCTATTTAGAAATAACCAATTTCATTAGAAAAACCTACCTTAAAGTCTTAATCAGTTTAAGCTTAATCATGTAAAAAAATGAGTGAAATGGATCAAAAACTGCAAAAACTGCAAATAGACAAGGAACAAATTGACAATTACAAAGAAATCTTCAATCAAAATCTCTAGAATAGCTCAAAATGGCTAATAGATTAAGATTACCCTAAAGTCTCGAGTATAAGTTGATCCGAGTATAAGTTCTGCCTTAATTTACATTCGCTTTAATTGCTTTGAATTTCTTTTTGTTGGGTTTTTATACAATTTTATTGTTATATAAACTTTTATTATTGTTCTTGGAGCGCGGGTGACAGCCTACAGGACTACAGGGTGACTACAGGGTGACAGCCTATCACCATTGCTATTTGTTATGTGCATGGATACATCCAGACGATAGTGTTGAAGAAGACGCTGGAAAGCATCTCTTTCGACCGTCGACGTGGACTTTGGCCGAATGAAGAGGCCAGGGAGGGATCCATAAGACTGAATACTGGAGAGGAGCAGGGCGGACGCGTCGAGCCACGCCCGGCATAGTCAAGCCACGCCCGGAGCAACAAATAACAGCATAAAATTGCTATAACCCTCAATAAATTTACTTCTATTATTGTTCTTAAAAAGCAAAAAAGTTATGCTGCAGCGGGGTTCGAAACCTCGACACACCGCACCGGAGACAGCCGTCAATTTGCATGCGAAAACCAAACAGAACTTATACTCGCGACTTTAGGGTACTATTTTTTTATAAAATAACGCTCGAATCTTATGAAAATGTTTTATCTCGAGTTTTTTATAGTCAAAAAAGTCAAAAAAGTCAAAGTCGGGTAGTCAAAAAGTCATCCGAAGACGCAAATTAGACGCTTTGCTCTACAAAAACCAATCTTGATGTCAATAGATAAAAGATAGAGGACAAAAAGTTAGATATCTGGTCAAATTTTTGAAGTAATCTGTTCAGCCGATGTCTTTTTAGAGCTTTTTATATGAAAAACGTGTTTTTTCACTTGAATTTGCTTGAAAATGAAAATGAAAATGAATGAAATTGACTTAAAAAACTCTACAAAGAAATTAGCTGAACAGATTACTTTGAAAATTTGGCTATATATCTAACTTTTTGTCCTCTATCTTTTATCTGTTGACACCAAGATAAGAAACATTTTTTGAATAAGAAAAAACGAATAAGAAACATTTTCTATTTAGAGCCAATTGTGAAAGGTTTTGCAGCTAGCTTCGTTTTCGACTTTACAGCAGACTTGCTTGCTGGCTTTACAGTTGGCTTTGGAGTTGGCTTAGCAGCTGGCTTTACAGCTGGCTTTAGAGTTGGCTTAACAGCTGGCTTTACAGTTGGCTTAGCAGCTGGCTTAGCAGCTGGCTTAGCAGCTGACTTAGCAGCTGGCTTTACAGTTGGCTTTACAGTTGGCTTTACAGTTGACTTTACAGTTGGCTTTACAGTTGGCTTAGAAGCTGGCTTAACAGCTGGCTTTACAGTTGGCTTTACAGTTGGCTTTACAGTTGGCTTCACAACCGGTAAATTTGTCATTTATAAACACTAATAGATTTTATTCTTTGTTCTTTTATGAAGCAATCTGTTTTGCGTTCTTTCTTTTCTCTATTGACACCAAAATCGATTTCTTTGGGCTAAAGTGTCGCAATCGTGTAATCTAACATTGGTATCGCCTTTTTGTCTGGTCAAGTTCGCGAAAAAACCCAGAAATAAAACATTTAAGAACAAGATAAGATCAACGATTTTTTATAAAAGAAAATATAAGGCTTTCTAATGGAGCAAACCGTAAATCAATAGATGAATTGATTATTTGTAAATAACTTTTTAAATGTAGTGTTCAAGGACTTATTGATCAATAGTTGAATTGATTATTTTTAAATAATCTTTCAAATGAAATGTCCAAAGAATTAATTTCTTCAAAACCCGCCACATCGACAGACTCAGAATCCTCAGCAAGGGAAATATTTAAAAGCAAAAACAATATAAATATTGTAGTAATAAAATGCATTGTTGGGCGTGGGCTGTCAATATTCTTTTCACTCCTTTTCCCTTTCTCGTATTTATGCCTTCCCATTTTTTCGTTGCAGATAAGAACTTTAAGCTCATTATTCAAGTTGTAGACTTTCAAATTTTCAAATGCTGAAACTAAGATAACTAAACTAATGGTTAGAATAAGGTCACTTTCAAGAAATTGAAAACATTCTGAATTGAATTGAAAAACATTGAGTTTATTCTTCAGCTTTGCAAAAGTTTATCAAGATACAGATATTGAATGGAAGATAATGAAATTATTTCTCTTTTTTGCAGCTTTCATTTTTACAGCATTCGATGTGGACTTTGATCGGCGTCGTTTTGCCGACATTTCGCGATCCTTGAGCCACTGATTCGCTCTGAATTTATTCATTTCATGATAAATAGCAGACAACGTGTAAGATAGAGTGGCTCAAAAGTTTCTGGGAACTTTTTATTCAATCAATTTCTGAATGGTTTGATAAAAACAATAAAGATAAAGTTTATAACTATTGGGTTGTCCAGTTATGAATGCGCGTTTTTTACTATTTTGCAAATTTCTCAAGATATCGAATAGATTTATATGAGTGTTATATATCATTCGAAAGCTGAAGATCTCCTCTACATTTTGATATAAAAAGCTTTTGAATTTGTTCAGCTTTTGGGGAAATTGACTGCACAAAGGGAGAGGTCGTTTTCGAAAAAACCCATTCCAACTTAGCTATGCCTCAAGTTTTATGGTGGAAAATAACCGCCCAGAAAAGAAAAGATTACATATCATTCGAAAGCTGAAGATCTCTTCTACATTTTGATATAAAAAACTTTTGAATTTGTTCAACTTTTTGGGAAATTGACTGCACAGAAGAAGAGGTGGCCAAAAAGGAAGGGGGGCCTTTTGGGTTTTTTTTTTTTTTTTTTTTTTTTTTTTTTTTTTTTTTTTTTTTTTTTTTTTTTTTTTTTTTTTTTTTTTTTTTTTTTTTTTCAAAATGGAAGGGTGCCTTTGGATCAAGTTTTGACTCCGCTCAAATTGAGTTAACCGTTTGATGTTTGGTCAATAGATATATCAATACAAGTTTTTTTAAAATATAACAATTTCAGAGCATCTTTACTTTACTTTTCTTTTCTGGGCGGCAATTTTACACCATAAAACTTGAGGAATGGCTCAGCTGGAATGGGTTTTTTCGAAAACGACCTCTTCCTTTGTGCAGTCAATTTGCCCAAAAGCTGAACAAATTCAAAAGCTTAGCTGAAAAGTATGGCTTTGGTTGGCTTTGGTTGGCTTTGGTTGGCTTTGGTTGGCTTTGGTTGGCTTTGGTTTGGATTGTCAGTCTTTGATAGCCCAGAAATCAGACCTTGAGCCCATAGAAGTGTAGTTCACTATCTCTTAAGTTAATTTTAAGAATAGAAACATTCTCATTTCATGCTGTTTTTCTATTAACAATTGTAAGCTGTTTTTGTTGTTTACCAGCTGCACTAGGCGTTCGCTAAGCACGAATATTCTACCTAGAGGGCACGTAGCACAAATCTGATTGCAAATTCGGATTCCTTGCCCCCGAAAACCCCCTAGTACAAATTTTCAGCTTTCTAGCTATCTTTGTTGTAATTTTACGTTAACGTAATTTGTATTGTCGCGTAGGCGTGACAGACGGACGGATGTTTTACTTTTTTTGTATATAGTAGATAGCAGGCAGTCAAAAGCATGCAGTACTTTTTATTTAAAGCTCATTTTAATCTTTTATCATATTGTAGGCTTCTTTGAATTTTAATGACAGGATAAACTAAGAAAGAAGATTGTAAGCTTAATTGTAAGCTTTACCAGCTACGCGGCCACACGAATATTCTACCTAGAGGGCACGTAGCACAAATCTGATTGCAGATTCGGATTCCTTGCCCTCGAAAACCCCCTAGTACAAATTTTCAGCTTTCTAGCTAACTTTGTTCTAATTTTACGTTAACGTAATTTGTATTGTCGCGTAGGCGTGACAGACGGAAGGATGTTTTATTTTTTTGTATATAGTAGATAGAAAGATTTTCTAAATTTTACCAAACAATCGTTAATCCCGGCGACGACCGTCTTGTGCTCGATCCCACAACCGCATCCCTGAGAGTCAATTGCTTTTCCAGAAACTGTGTCTCTAAAAGAGAATTTTCAAAGGAGCACAGAGTTCCTAAAATATAAGTCTACCAGCCGAAAAACCCATCAAAAGCCCGACTAATGGGGGATTTTTCGGGCGTGAGGTCTTGTCGCCGTGGCGCAGTCGAGAGCGCACTTGTCTAAGGCCCACACGATCCAGTTTAGATTCCTGGATCTTTTAACCCACACTGATTTTTTAAAATTCTTTTTAAATGGCACAACTACGATATATTTTAAAGAAGTTTTAGCTCTAAAATTGGTCAAAACACGACCGAGAAATTCCCCGTACCGACAGACAGACAGACATTACTCTTTTATATTTGTCGTAGCCGATTATGAATGAAAGTAGGTTTTTTATAGAAATTTGTCGTCAAATGCAAATTATTTTTTTTATGTTGTAGTTGATAAAACCTCAATTCACCCAGTTCAAGTACGGATCGGCAACTTTCCCATTTCGACCCAGAATTTGTTTGAATGTTTTGAACCGTAATACGTTACTATTAGGTGTGTGAAAAAGTAATCCACGTTTTTTATTTTTATCTGATGACCAAATAAGAAGCTATCTTCTCGAAAATCCTCGTTCAACCTCTTCAGAAATAGGCCTTACATTAAATTGTGATGGGTGAACCGTAAGGAAACGCTTGAATGTCATGAATTTTATCAAAAAGTTGGACAAATGGATACCGCATGAACGATAACGCGCGACCACATGTCTCTTTATAGACTCGACAAAAAATCCAGAGTGTTGGATGGGAGGTTTTACCACATCCACCTTATAGTCCAGACCTTTCTCCATCTGATTATTATTTATTTTTGTCTCTGTCTAACTTTTTGGCCAATAAACGGTTCAATTCCGAAGAAGATGTCAAAACCGAGGTTGATTTTTTCTTCGCCTCTAAGGACCAAGATTTTTATTATCGTGGAATGTCTTTACTTGTAGAACGTTGGCAAAGGTTGTTCTTTCGAATGGTGATTACTTCGTTGAATAAAAATTATTTTAACGAAACTTATGGTCTTTTATATTTAAACGTTAAAAACGTGGATTACTTTTTCACACACCTAATAGTTACCACTTGTTAATCATGCTTTATACTTTCGAACAAAGTTTAAGAGTTTTCACGTTTTTAACTTTTGTCTTTTATATTTTCATCGGACTAAATTTTCTTTTTAGGATGGAGGATCGATTTGCTGAAATCTTCACGCAATATCAATCTCAAAGAAAGAAGATTTTGGTACTTGTGGAGTATCCGGGGGGGGGGTAAAATTTTAAGATCCGGTGGGGTAAAATTTTATATACGTTATACACGACCCCTTTTAAAGACATTCAGCCGCTTAAGTGATTTCAAATTCCCTTCAAATGTAAAGATATTCAATTTATTGAGGTGATTACTTGATTACGTGATTCGAGGTGATACTCGATCAAAAACGTAACTTCTACAAAATTTTTTTATGTCATTATTAGAAATGTTGATAATATCCTAGTTGGCGGGTCATTTTTTTTCTTCAAAACCATTTTTTGAGGTAGTTTTATGTGTTGATGTGGGTCCGGCAGATGCCCACTCACATGTGGCTTTGAAGAAAAAAGTGGTCCCCCAACTAGGATACTATCAAAAGTTTTTTTTTCAGAATGCGATATTCTGAGGTGAGCGCACTTTCCGAGCGTGATGCGATTGATATTTTTGTTCAAGCAGGAATCCTTGCAGCACCAGCATGTGGATGTGGTCGTAAAACACCCCGGATCTTAAAATTTTACCCTACCGGATCTTAAAATTTTACCCTACCGGATCTTAAAATTTTACCCCCCCCCCCCCCCGATACTTCACAAGTACGAAGATTTTGATACCGTCTGCTGACCAGTGAAATCGTTGTGAAAATCAAAAAATTCAGCGAGGGAAACGATAAGAAAAAAAAATCGCGCCATGATGTCAACTTGCTAAATCGTTTCTCTCTTCAATACGAACAGGACTAGTCGAATCTCTACAGTCACGGAAGCGGGCAAAACAATCAACCAAAGCGAGTGGTCAAGAAAGAGGAGCTCTTCAATCTACTGATGGATGCTCACAAAGGACTAGGACGCGGGATGCGACTAGGAGCTGGACGCGATATTATGTGGAAGGAACTTCGCGACTATCATGGAAGATCAAAGGAGATTATTGAAATTTTTGTCAAGCTTTCAGTCAAGGAAATGAATGCGAGCTGAAGAAGGGTATACCCAAGAAAGGAATTGTTATAAAACCAAATGTGACAAAGGAACAAAATGAGCGATGTAAATCGATTTCGTTGACCTTGAATCGGTGCCCGACGGTGACTATAAGTTTTTGATGATTTACCAGGATCATCTCACAAATTTTGTAATCCTTCATGCATTAAAATCAAAAACAGCGTCTGAGCCGGTGAATCACTTGATGGAGATATTTGGAACTTTTGGAGCGCCAACGATTTTGCCCAAGAAAGGAATTGTTATAAGTGATTTTTGCTAGCGAAATCTTTTGATTCATAATCGGCTACGACCTATATAATAGATGTCACTAAAATAACATAAACATCATTTTCATGAACTCACATTATTTGAATGTATCTACAAAAGTCGCACCCTTCACTGCAGTCCACCGATTTCACCTAAAACAAGTGATCAGAAAGCTTGGAAATGCTCTGTACTTTCCGCTCAGAGAAACGCTTGCTAACTGGAAGGCTCAAGCTTCTCAATCAAGAGTTAGTGAAATGAAAAAGTTAAGTTTTTGTTTGTACAAAGCAAAAGTACTATGGTGTGTAAGCTTTTGATAACAAGCGTAATCTGAGTTTAGATTACGGTTGTTATCAGATTATAATAGCTATCAGATTACAATAGTTATCAGATTACAATACAGTCATGGACAAAAGTCTTGGCGGGTCCTGGGTGGCAACTTTCAAACGCAAATTTAGGAACCTTTCCGAGAGGCTATAAAAAAGTTGTCACAAGTATTTTTGAGCATTTTTACTCTACTTTTAGACTTTTGTCCGTTGTTTTTGTGACCTTTTTGTCGTTTACGCTTATTTTTGTTGTCTAAAATAAACTTTCTAGTTCAATGCTTGGTCATAGCTAAAAGTAGAGTAAAAATGCTCAAAAATACTTGTGACAACTTTTTTATAGCCTCTCGGAAAGGTTCCTAAATTTGCGTTTGAAAGTTGCCACCCAGGACCCGCCAAGACTTTTGTCCATGACTGTAGTTATCAGATTAAAATACTTATCTAGAATCAGTAGTTTTCTAAATTTCAAATTCTCATCTTATCTCTGCATCGATTAAAACAGTTTTCAACTCACTTCATCCTTCGAATCTTTCTGAAACGAACACTTCCTAGCGACAGTGAATTGCACCAATAACAAAGCGATGAAAATTTTGGCAAGCATAATAGCTGAGAAATTCAAATAAAGAGTCAAATTTTTGGCGTTTTCAAGTTTGCCGAAAATATCGGGAGATCGTTTAGAGTGGAACTGTCTATTTCTCTCATCAATTTCTCTATTTATACGAAAAACATTTTGGGAAAAAATTGAGGATGAATCCCAAAACTTTTTGCATTTCCAATATTGAGTGGAACATTTCCAAAATGGGGTGAAAGCTTTGTTTCCCAGTTTTACATGGTTAAAAAGTGGGAAAAGTGTATTGTCTATAAATTGTAGATCGAAATGAAGATTGGAAATGTTTTGAAGTAGCAAAGTGTTAGCAAAGAGTGGACTACTATTTTCTACTATTCTTGGGATAAAATCAAAACTTTATGAGGTCATAGATATCGTAAAATAGATAAAATAGATATCTTATTTCCCCTAATACCGTAAAACTTCTAATATGCGTACATGTACGTCAACTTTTAAGTACTCTCTAGAGTGTAGGTCTATTGGAGCATGTACGTCGGATAGAGCATCTTCTAATATAGGTGCATGCTCTATTCGACGTACATGCTCTAATAGACGTACATTCTAGAGGGTACTTGAAAAATAGACGTACATGTACTGAAAGTTTTACAGTAGTAGTGCACCTAGTCGAGCCGAGATGATGACTATTTTACGGTTTTAAAGTTTTCACAGAAGCTCAACACTCAAATCCCCCACTAGATCTCATCGTCAGCTACATTTTCCGACCCCACAGGTTCTGATATTCTTTATCTCTCCAAATTTGGTTCCTTATCTCTCTAGATTTGGTTCCTTATCTCTCCAAATTTGGTTCCTTATCTCTCTAGATTTGGTTCCTTACCTCCACAAATTTGGTTTACTAGCTCCACAAATTCGGTTCCTTATCTCAGTAAATTTGGTTCCTTATCTCTCTAAATTTGGCTCCTTCTGATAAGCGTTCTGATAAGCACTTTTTGAGATTTCGAGCGATTTAGGTGGAGCGATTTAGGTGGAGCGATTTAGGTGGAGCGATTTAGGTGGAGCGATTTAGGTGGAGCGATTTAGGTGGAGCGATTTAGGTGGAGCGATTTAGGTGGAGCGATTTAGGTGGAGCGATTTAGGTGGAGCGATTTAGGTGGAGCGATTTAGGTGGAGCGATTTAAGGTGCACTACTATTAAGGGAAATACCGTATTTTAACACTGAAAAGCCGTCATCTAAATTTATAGTTGGCATAAAATCCCAAACGAGTCATTTGCATATTTCTCGAGGTTCGATTTCGAACGAGTTCTGCCTCTAAAAGAAAAGCTTTAGGCTAAGGGTGAACCGTTTGAACGAAGATTTGAAAAAGTTTTCTCAATTTAAGCCATTTCAAAATATTTGACTCTTTTCTAGTCTTTCCTTGACTAAAGCCTTTTTAGTACAAATCTTTGTACAATGAATTTACTATTATAGCATCAAGTAAAATATCAGGAAATCAATTCCAAATCACCGTCTTCTTTTTATACAGTAAACATTCTACAAAAGAAGAGCCGGTTCTTCTATTGGAATAAATACGATATTTGAATCTAAATCCCTTAAAATAGCATACAAAACTTTAAGATATTTCAAAACGTTTCCCCATTTTCTTATCTCTTCTAGACTATCCAAAAAAAGTGCGCCGCAGGTGAAACTGGATCGAAATTTTGCGAGAGTCTTTTTTCCGAGCTTCCGCTCAACTTTTGCAAGGGTTTTTTTGCAACTAGAACAATAATTTTTCATACTTTTCACAATAAGTAAATATTTATCACCAAAACAACCAAAAAAATATACTAAAACCTTCATCTAAAGCTCCAAAAAATGATTTTGATCGAGACGAATCGGATCAGGCAGTTTTCGGTCTGAAAATAATCATTTTTAAGAAGATTTGTATTGCATCAAAAGCCAAAGTTGCTTTGTACTTTATGCTGTACTAAATGTACACTCTCTGGCACTTGCTTTCTCGAGTATATTAGAAAATAGGGTCCTAGAAATCGAGGTTTTACTCTAACACAAAGTATAGGACTTACTGCATTAAATCTATAAAATAAATAGATCAAATTTCCTTAACTAACATTGTCAAACAGCTACAGAAGTCAAAAATGAGCTACCGTAAATACTGTAATAGTACCCCACTCCCATAATGACGGTGCGGAGTTTCGCGTAGTCTAGCTTTGAACGAGTTTTTCTCGACACTGGTTTACGCTACAATGCTCACATAGGTATCAAAAAATAGCCCTGAATTTCAGCTATTTTTTGATATCTAAACGCAAATTGTAGCATAAACCAGTATCGAGAAAAACTTGTTCAAAGCTAGACTACCGTATTTATTCTAATAAACGCCCCCCCTCGACCAACTTTAGATGCCTCGTCCTCAGCCTGATTTTATGATATTTTTATGTTTAATATACCAAAAGATAGAAGGCATTAAGGACTATCTTTTGGTATATTAAATATATAAATATCTCAAAATGGAGCTGAGAACGAGGCGTCTAAAGTTGGTCGAGGGGATCCTCTAATAAATGCCCCCTCGACCAACTTCAGATGCCTCGTTCTCAGCTCCATTTTGAGATATTTATATATTTAATATACGAAAAGATAGTCCTTAATGCCTTCTATCTTTTGGTATATTAAACGTAAAAATATCTCAAAATGGGACTGAGAACGAGGCGTCTAAAGTTGTTCGAGGGGAGTGGCGTTTATTATAATAAATACGATATGCAACACTGCGCATCGTCATTATTGGAGTAGGGCACTATTACAGTATTCAAATACATTCAAATAACCTACCGTAAATACTGTAATAGTACCCCATCCCCCTCTCGTACAGTCGCGTAGTCGCAAAAGTTTTTTAGTATTTAATTTTTTTGCAAAGCACCCGTACTTTCAAAAAATGTGTCTTTGGTATCAAAAAAAAGCCCTGAATTTCAGCTATTTTTTGATATCTAAGCGCGCATTGTAGCATAAACCAGTGTCGAGAAAAACGCGTCCAAAGCTAGACTACGCAACACTTCGCACCGTCATTATGGGGGTGGGCTACTATTACAGTATTTACGGTAGCTTTTTGTCAGTAGCCACTCATTTTTGGCTAAACCATTCTCTTAAATTAAATCCATGATTGACGAATCAAATACTCAAATAATCAGTTTCAAAAGACACGAAAAAGCTCAAAACGCCTCTCTAAAGATAACAAAACAAGAAGTTTGTCTAAGGCTGACTAATCAAATAGACTTATTGCTTAAATTTGATACTAGATGATGAAAAAACTCACTTCTCCTTCTCAGCTGTTTTCTCTGGTGTCTTCTCCGGTGTCTTCGTCTTCTCAGCCGATTGTTCAGGTGTTTTCTCAACTCGTTTCTCAGCCGGCTTCTCCTTTTGCTTTTCAGCTGGCTTAGCTGAAGCTTTCGGTTTCTCAGCCGGCTTTGGAAGCGGTTTTGCAGGTTTAGCTGCTGGCTTTGCCTTTGAAGCAGGTTTTCCAGCTGGCTTCGCTTTTGGCTTTACAGCAGACTTGCTTGCTGGCTTAGCAGCTGGCTTTACAGTTGGCTTTACAGCTGGCTTCACAACCGGCTTCTCCACCTTCCCGACCGCTTTCTCCGCAAAAGCCAACAGCAAATCTTCAATATGTTTCAAACGAACATCCACCTGTGTCAACTTTTCTTGTACCTCTTTTGACAAAACCGCAGCCGGTGCTGGAGTAGCTTCCTCCCTTTTCTCTTCATCTTGCGGTTTTTGGTCTGATTCCGTTTCCACTCTTGATTTCCCTCCACCAACAACTGTCGTCACTTTGGTCACAATTTTTGTGACAACTTTCTGTTCACCGTCATCTTTCTTCTTGTTCTTTTTATTCTTCTTCCCCTTCTTCTTTTTTCCATCTTCATCCTCATCTTCGTCTTTGTCTTTTTTGTCCTTCTTGTTCTTTTTATTTTTCTTGTCCTTATCCTCATCCTTGTCATCCTTGTCATCTTCGTCTTTCTTATCCTTTTCCTTGTCATCATCTTTGTCACCTTTATCTTCCTTGTCCTTCTTGTCCTTCTTGTCCTTATCCTCATCTTTGTCACCTTTATCTTTCTTGTCCTTCTTGTCCTTTTTATCTTTCTTTTTCTTATCCTCCTTTTCATCCTTATCTTCCTTGTCCTTGTCGTTATCTTTGACTTTCTCATCACCCTCCTTCTCATCCTTCTTCTTGTCACCCTTGTCCTTCATCTCAACCTCAGCCTTGCCATCCTTCTTCTTGTCATCCTTGTCCTTCATCTCAACCTCAGCCTTGCCATCCTTCTCTTCCTTCTCTTCTCCATCATCCTTCTCATCCTCCTTTTCCGTCTTCTTGTCCTTCTTGTGCTTCTTATCCTTCTTGTGCTTCTTGTCCTTCTTATGTTTCTTGTTCTTCTTTTTCTCCTTATCTTCATCCTCTTCCGATTCCGACGACTCTTTACTCTCTTTCTTTTCTTTTTTCTCTTCCTTCTTTTTCGGTTCTTCTTTTTCTTTCACAGCTACTCCTTTCACAGCTTCTCCTTTCACAGCTTCTCCTTTCGCAGCTTCTCCTTTCGCAGCTTCTCCTTTCGCAGCTTCTCCTTTCACAGGCGGCTTTCCACCATCAGCCTCTGGGTGTGCTGGCTTCTTATCTTTCTTGGCCACCTCAACACCCTTGGGTTTCTCCTCTTTCTTGGCTTCAGCTGGTTTCTCCTCTTTCTTGGCTTCAGCTGGTTTCTCCTCCTTACCTTTGGGTTCATCTTTTTTAACCTGTTCAGGCTTCACCTCATCTTTCTTGGGATCTTGCTTCTTATCATCCTTTTTCGGCTCTTCCTTTCCCTTTGCTTCTGGTTTTTTCTCATCTTTCGGCACTTCTTTACCCTGAGGCTTCTCATCCTTCTTTGGCTCATCCTTAACCCCAGGTTTCTCAGGTTCTTTACCCTTTGGCTTTTCTTCTTTCTTTACCTCTTCTGGCTTCTTATCATCTTTCTTTGATTCTTTAGCTTTCTTTGGTTCTTCAGCCTTCTTTGGTTCTTCAACTTTCTTTGGTTCTTCAGCTTTCTTTGGTTCTTCAGCTTTCTTTGATTCTTCAGCTTTCTTTGGTTCTTTAGCCTTCTTTGGTTCTTCAGGCTTCTCATCCTTCTTTGGCTCATCCTTAACCTCAGATTTCTCAGGTTCTTTACCCTTTGGCTTTTCATCTTTCTTTACCTCTTCTGGCTTCTTATCATCTTTCTTTGGTTCTTCAGCCTTCTTTGGTTCGTCAGCCTTCTTTGATTCTTCAGCTTTCTTTGGTTCTTCAGCTTTCTTTGGTTCGTCAGCCTTCTTTGATTCTTCAGCTTTCTTTGGTTCGTCAGCCTTCTTTGGTTCTTCAGCTTTCTTTGGTTTCTCTTTTGGCTCCTCTTTCTTCGGTTCATCCTTCGTTTTCTCGGGATCACAATCAGGTTCAACACAGCACAAATCCTTCAAGAATCCCACCGGTTTTCCGGAATCCGAAAAGTCGGCGTTCGTCTCAGATGCTTCCTAGAAATGGAAGTTATTGAAAACTAAAATAACCTTCAACAACTTTTGTCAGTAAAATATTATATTTGACTAGAAATGCAGATTTATTCAAACCACTTACAAAGCAATCATTCAGCTTATTGACTCTTTCATCTTTCTCCAATTTCGTTATCGTTTTCTCGCCACAACCACAACCTTTCGTCTTCACATGGCTAGCCGGAGAGTCGCCAGATTGACTAGAATTTCAAAGGGTTTTAAGCTAAATGGTAAAGAAAGAAAGAGGTAAAGTCAAAGGGTAAAGAACCTGAGAAGTTATACCGATTTTTAGCAGTTAAAAGTTAAAAATTTGATTAAATCGTTCCTAAAACCCACGGTGCTTCCAGTGCGATCGCTCGACAGAATCCACAATCACCACAATCAACATCTTGTGCCTATAAAATGATGAAAAACCGGTTTTTTTTTGCCTTCATTTGATGCAATACAAATTCTAAGCGCTGGTTAACGCTAAAAATATGTATTATAACTCAAAAAATCACCCATCTTCTCTACTTTCATTCGATATTAAAGTGAGCAGAAAGAAATGTACTGATGTCGAGATATGAGCGGTTCTTTCAGTGTAAACTTAGACTACACGACGCTCCTATAGGTGGGTGCTTCTATTAGAGCTTTTACGATAATTGCGTGATCGAAAATTGGTAATTTTAAAAATATTGAAAAATGAGCACATAAAGAAAACCGCTAAACGGATTATTCTAAATTTTGGCTGTAGACTTAATTCTTTGTGCGCTATCTCACCAACCTTGAATTAATTGAGAAAATAAACTTTATCAAAATGAATCCAAGCCCACAAGCAAAGCTAATAATAAGCCAAAAGTATGTTTAACTAATAGAAGCCCCAATAGGAGCGTCGTGTAGTCTAAGTTTACTCTCAAACAAACGCTCATATCTTGACACCAATACGCTTCTTTCTGCGCACTTTGATATCAAATTAAAGTAGATCTAGAGCTATGCACTGCTCTATTCTGCTCTAGTAGCAGTAGTACAATTGTAAAAGTCAAGTTTAATATAAGTATGAAAAAGGAGAAATCAAATATTGTACTAAATCGTGCACGCTTCATTTCATTATCTAAATGAGTCTCAAACTATCAAATATCAAACAATTTCTTTTATTATAAATGTTTACCCTTTACTTTTTGTTATTTTTAACAAATTTTTAGTATTTTAGAATACCGTAAATACTCTAATAGAAGCCCCTATGGGAAGTCGCGTAGTCCAAGTCTTTACTCTCAAACAAACGCTCATATCTCGACATCAGTACTTTTCTTTCTGCTCACTTTGATATCAAATTAAAGTAGAGAAGATGGGTGATTTTTTGAGATATAACACATATTTTTAGCATTAACCAGCGCTCAGAAAACATTATTGAAAAATGATGAAAAATCGCCGTTTTTTGCGACTTTTCAACCATGTTTTCTAAGCGCTAGTTAAAGCTGAAAATCTGTGTTATGTCTCAAAAAATCATCCATCCTCTCTACTTTAATTTGACGCACAGAAACAAACGTAGAAACGCGCAGAAACAAACGTACTGGTGCCAAGATATGAGTGTTTGTTTAAGAGTCAAGACTTAGACTACACGACGCTCCTATTGGGGCTTCTATTAGAGTATTTACTGTAGTCTATCTATTTTGGTATCTAGATCAATAACTAATCAATTAAAAGATCGGATAAGGGCAGAATTACAATAGTTTTCAAGAGAAGAAGTTGAGAAAATTTTAAGAGAACACGTTTTAGAAAAATTTAAAAAAAGCAGAAATGCTCTTTATTTTTTACAGAATTTTACCCACTCAAAAACCCTTAGATTCAATTAAAATTAGACAAAAGATCGATTACTTACGCTTGCTTTTGGCAAACAAATCAATGTGGTCAAGGCTTGGTTACGAAATAAAAGCTGAAATTGTAATCTGACCTCTTTTTCTCCAGTCAACTTCTGCTTACAAGTGATGGCAATGGATAAGCCGAGAAAGGCAAGGAAAATGAATGGTTTCAGCATTTTGGGAATGCTTGAGGAACCGTTCTTGTTGTCAGTTCACTTATAGATTACTGCTTGACCCGCCCTGATTGTCTCTATATACCACTTTTTGCATATTCGATGATTACGAGTCTGGAACGAGATTGAAAAGAGAAAAAGACAAAGACGAAAGAAAAACTGAAAGTGTTTCGACCTCTAAATGACTGGGGGAAAAGCCATGACACCCATTGTTTAAGAATTGATTTACTTAGGAAAAACTTGATGTAAAAGAAACAGTTATGGTCATTTAGTGGTAAAGTTATCAAAGAAAAGAAAAGGTTTTTGATTTTGATGAGATTGGAAAAAGTTGTTGATCGTAATGAGCTGTACAATCATAGACAAAAGTCTTTTGGTTTTTAGAAGTTTATTCTTTGTATATCTTGATCCAAATCTGACCAATTTGCAAACGGTTAAAAGATTTTAATCAAATTCTAATTTTAACATTACAAAAAGATCGATTTAACAATTTATCAGGTGTCATAAACTTTTTAAAAAACAAAAATTGAGCCAAAAATTGATGGACAGTCTTTTGGAATTGATGGACAGAAAAACATATGAAAATCAATACTTAGTAGCCGCAATTACTGCTTGAATTCTCCTTGGCATGCTGTCAACCGGATCACGTAGAATTTAGGCTCCAATAGTTGTCCAGACTCGACGGATGAAGTACCAAAGCTCCACTTTTGATCCGAAGAGTTTCCCCTTCAATTTCGACTTCACAAACGCCCACAAGTTCTCGATCACATTCAAATCAGGACTATAGCGAGGAGCAGACACAAGTTGAACACGGTTTGCTTTGAACCATCCTGGCACCAGAGCCGTTCCTCCATTGTTCCTTCAGAGCCGAGTCGAACACGGCGTCCCATCAGCAGCTGTGACTTGTGGCACGGGACATTGTCCTGGTACAACAACCAACCTTGGCCCGTTTGCGGTCGAAATTTGTGGTCGAAAAACGAAAACGAAAACAGTTTAAAACTTTTTAATAAAACAAAAATTGAGCCAAAAATTGCTGGACAAAAGTCTTTTAACATTCGCGGTTTCTTCGAGAGATTTTCTGTTTTTCCTATCGATTTCTGGTTGCTAACTCTGATTTTTTAGATGCCCGACGCCTACTTATCAACTCCGGACAAGGAGAAAATCGTTGAAGCTCGAAAAAATGGAATGTCTAGAAAAGCCGTCGCTGAGCTCTTCCTCTGTACCGAAACAACTGTATCGCTTGTTGTCTCCAGGGCCAAACTCGCGGGAAACGTGTGCATCAAAAAGTGGACGTCTACCAGTTACCACTTTACGAGAAGACAATGCGCTCATTCTGGCCCACAAGAAGAACCCAAATCTGAATGCCTCTAATGGCGTGGTGAAGCAACAATTTAACAAAGAAATTTCTCGAAAAACAGGGAGTCGACGCCTGATTCACGCTGGTTTGATGACTAGAAGGGCCGCCAAGAAATCTCTGATGGTAGCTAAGCACCGGAAGCTTCGTCTCAAGTTTGATAAGAAGTATCAAAGTTGGTTGTCGCACGATTGGGCCAATGCCCGGCGCCTACTTATCAACTCCGGACAAGAACAGGGACAAATCTATTAGAGGACAAATCCATCCGGACAAATTAGAGATAATAAACTCTTTAAATCTTTTAACCGACCAAAAAATTTAGCTTTGGATTTTCTCGTCCCTCCATTTAGGTACATCAACAATAATCCAAATAACAATATTTATATCAACGTTCAACATATACCCGAAAACAAACATTAGTAAAAAGAAGACCCGCATAACAGCTAAAGTTTCAAAAGTTTAGCAATAAATCGCAATATCCTATCTCATACAGAAGGAGCCCCACCAGTGGGCCCCACCAGGGGGCCCCGGGGTTTCAATTACAGTATTTACGGTAGTTTAGGAAATTTTGCCTTAAAAACATTAAAAAAAAGCAAACCCCTTCATCGACAACTAATTTGGCTAACACTTCGGGTGCCATATATCCAAAAGTGCCAACTGGTTGCCCCGGGATGGTTTGTCTTTGAAAACTCTTTCACTATACCAAAATCTCCGATCTTGACAATGTGATCTCGAGTCAGGAAAATGCTGGGAAAAAAAACTTTATTTGAATCTTTGTAAAGAAACTTTGCCGATTTAATGTCCCGATGCACTTTTTTCTTCTGAAAAAGGTACACTAACGCGTAAAATATTTCTTCAGCCCATTTTGCAATTGTCGCAATTGAGTAGATGAGTCGGATTTGGACCAAGATATACAAAGGACAATCTTCTAAAAACCAACGTTTTGACTTTTAGCTAAAGACTTTTGTCCATGACTGTAAAATTTGAATTGTATAAGTTAAGCAAAAAATCTGAAAAAGTATTTGGATCGACTGTTCAAATCATACATTGTTCATTCTTTTGAGTCGGTTTAGTTGCCCAAGCGATTGCCTTAGATCCAGCGCAGTTTTGCCAAAAGAGCTGCGTTTATCGAAGCAGGGAATGCCTGTATTTTCGTAATTGCATGGCATTCGGTGCATGGTTTTTAGCGTAGCAATGAACTGAAATGTATCACTTTCTTTTTTTGGTTTAATTACCTAAATCTTGATGGATTTGGTGATGGAATTACATTTTTTAAAAGCACAACAAGTCTTCAATGTTTGCTTTTACTATTTTTACTGTAAGATTGAGATTTGAATCTTTTATTTCCAATAAATGATTCAAATTTCATAAAACGCATAAGAAAAGCTGAGAGAATATAAATGGGAAGAATTTGGAGACGAATTTGGAGACGAACGGAGATTCTTGGCTTTTTTAAATTCTGGGTAAGCTTGAATAGTCGTCTGAAAAAAGAAAATTACTAAACTGCTTCATATATTTATAGCTCAACCTATAGATTTCTTAACACGTTCGGGACGATTCGGTCCACCGGTGGACGAAGGCCGTCTGGCCCCTGGAACGATTCGGTCCACCGGTGGACGAAGGCCGTCTGGCCCCTGGGACGATTCGGTCCACCGGTGGACGAAGGCCGTCTGGCCCCTGGGACGATTCGGTCCACCGGTGGACGAAGGCCGTCTGGCCCCTGGGACGATTCGGTCCACCGGTGGACGAAATTGTGGTCCACCGGACGAAATCCCTCCCGCCCCAGAGACAGACGCTCTACCGACTGCGTTATAGAAGACCTTTATTGCGCGTATCCCAGTAAAACGGCCTTTTTGGGATAAAGTCTTATCAAAAAATGATGTTGATATGAAATGTTCATCTAGCTGAGCTCCATCCAATAAAATCGTGGAAAACAGACCATTGGAGAAAGAGAAATGCGGCGTTTTGTCTCACGAGCCAAAAAGAGCCGATATCTTTTTGAGGCAGCAATATTTTCAAAATCTGATTAGAGATTCGGATTCCGCATGAAATTTTACATATAGGAGGTGTATTTCGGGGCTAATAGCTTTGCGAGACACCCCTCGTCCACTGGGGTGTTGAGAACAGATTTTTGCTCTTTCAACTCACAGAAATCACAGTTTTTTTTGATAAAATAAGTTTCCTTACATAATTTTAAGTAAACTTGACTTAATTCTAGAGTCTAAATCGATTTTTAATCGATAATTCAATAGATTTAAACTATTTTCCTTTTTCCTTAGTCCTCTTTGTCATGCCTTCAAGCTATTTGTGCTGGTAAAGCTGAAATTGTTCCCATTTTCAGTTTTAAATTCAAATTTTTCCAAATTCACATTCTAATTCGTCTCATTTGCATAAAATTTCCAGTAAATTTGAATTTTTCTTCAACAATTCCCTTTTAAAATCTCCGCCAATCCTTTTAGACATTTAAAAGCCAAAAAATCTTGTCTTTCCAAGCCACACAAACCTCATTTTTCTTCAAGTAAACACTTGAAATCACAGCTCATTTTTGCCCATCCCTTTCCCTCATAAAAATCCCTTATGATGTTCCTTTTTGAAAATTCCCGAAACAATTCGATCATTCAAACCATTGGAGAAAGAGAAATGCGGCGTTTTGTCTCACGAGCCAAAAAGAGCCGATATCTTTTTGAGGCAGCAATATTTTCAAAATCTGATTAGAGATTCGGATTCCGCATGAAATTTTACATATAGGAGGTGTATTTCGGGGCTAATAGCTTTTCGAGACACCCCTCGTCCACTGGGGCAGTAACGCAAAATAACGCCTCGTCGCGAATGTGTTAAAAACTGTTTTTTAAAAGATTTTGTTAAAGGTTTCAAAATAGAAAAGGTGTTATTTTAATAGTATTAGATTGGAAAGAAAGTTCTAGGGAAAAGTTTGCACTGTAATTTCTCAAAAAACCAAGCCATCAATTCTTCCCAGATCTTTTGATAAACTTAACTATATGATTTAACTACAACTTTACACATAGGTCTTTAAAGCTACAGTAAACTAAAGTAAAAAGCTTACAGTAGTACTGTTACAGTACACTTAGCTACTCAACATGTAGCAGAACAGTACAAAGCCTAATGGGAAATACAAAGCGAAAATACAACTGTGCAAAGTTTAATGTCATTTTCATCAAAAACCATACCCCATTTTTCGATGGCTCGGGACCGCGATTTGAATGACAGAATGGAAGAGTGAATGGAGAATAATTGAAGAGTGAATGGGGATATGAATTCGTTGTTTAAATGCAAAGTTTGATCTTAATCTTACTTTCGCTTCACTTTAATATTTCGCTTTCTTCTTGCATGGTTTATTCGACAGATTAAAATACAATAAGAAATTGTGCTGAATCTCTTCATAGATTGATTTTTGTGGAGTCCGTTGAGCACCTCAATACAATCTTATTTCAAAAGCGATTTTCCTGGAGCTGGTCAAGCCTAATTGAGAACAAAAACTTAAGTATAATAATCAATTTCTTAAAAATGATGTTTTACAAATGATTTTGACCTATGAAGTTTTCGATGGGAGGCTTTAATAGCGAGATTTTGAGAGCCTAAAAGCATGCAGCGATGGCCGAGTGGTTAAGGCGTTTGACTCGAAATCAAATGGGCTCTGCCCGCGTAGGTTCGAATCCTGCTCGCTGCGAAAACTTTTGTATTTTTGTCTTTCTATCTTTCTAATCTATTCTAATCCTATCTTTCTTATCTAACATTTTTAAATCTTCTATTAAATCTGAAAGCTTTGGAATTTTAAATTCAAAAGCCGCTTTTGCATTTTGCATTTTGTGATTTTGTCAAGAAACAGAAGCAAAGTCAAATTTTAACTTCAAATTTGTAGTTTTTCCTGATAAACTTGTTATTTTTGACTAGAATTACCTTAACCTGACTTACCGGTTTAAAGAATTTTGCTCAATAATGATTCTTCAGGATTTATTTCAGAGATTAGCACCGAGATTTCCTGAGATTTCATTGTGGATTTATTGTGGATTCATTCATGGACTAAAACAACTTATTCTTTGTGTGAAACAAGTACAGGGTGACCAGGAATAACGTTGCGGCCTAATTTAGCCTATTTTTTTTAAATCCAAAAAGATTTTGTAACAGAAACAATTTTTTATTAACAACATGTAAGCATAAAATCTACTTTTCATATAAAGAGAGCATAAAATCTACTTTTCTTCAAAGTGACCACCTTTGGCCCAGATGCAGAGCCTCAAACGCTTGATTAAGTTTTCGGCGATGGACCGCAGCTCGGCCGGAGTGGTTCGATCCCACTCCCTGGGCAACGATCGCTTAAGAGCCTCCAAACTTTTGTGGGGTTTTGCACAAGCCCTTGCCTCCAAAATTGACCAAACACTGTAGTCCAACGGATTGAGATCGCACGAATACGGAGGCCATTCCTGGGCCGAGATGAAATCCGGAAAGTTTGTCCTACACCAGTCCTGTGTGGATTTGGCTCGATTAGAAGGAGCGGAGTCTTGTTGGAAGGTCCAAAATCCGTTACCAAAATGCTATTGAGCTCATGGAAGCAAAACATCCTCAGAAAACAGGATTCGCTCCCAGTGTGGAGGTTGCGGCCCACTTGAGAAGCCCTCCATCTTTCGGTTTTTTGTCCCCTTGGATGAAGATTGGCCCATTTTTGACCATGTCGAACCGATTCCGGCCCCGTCTGTCGAGCGATCCTCTGAGACCTTGGATTCGGTCACGCGCTTCTGAATCACTTGCGATTTCTGGAGGTGTTGACTGTTCTTTTCCCCCCCCCCCCCTCCAAGCCCTTTATCTTAATCGCTTTTGGCGATGAGAAATACGTACAATTGCGCGATCGCACTCACGCATTGACCTTGACGATGAAGCTCCAGAATGGCATATCCTTTGTTTGTCATCCTATAAAAAAATGAATAAACTTGAAACAAAGTAAAACAACAAAGAAACTAATCAAAACAATCACAGAGAATAAGTTAAAAATAAATTTTTCTCCCAAAATTGAAACTTTGAGGATTTTAGGCTGCCGAAAATCCCGCAACGTTATTTCTGGTCACCCTGTAGAAGTGATCAATCTTCAATTTTTCCAAAGATTTATTCAATTTGCTTTCTCGTGGCTCTATTTCGGGCTCTATTTCGGGCCATTCTCCCAACAGTTCAAGGGGATTGAGAGATAATGGAAGAAGGATTTCCAAGATCTTCAAGAGATTCAAGAGATTGTAAAAACTCTGAATGCTTTTGTATTTTTGATACAAAGAGACTTTACCTTTTGAAAATACTTCATTTCTAACCAATTTTTGTCTTTTGAAACGGAAATTATCGATTGTATTCATCGAAAACTTGATTTTTGCTTTTTTTGTTTGTTTAGAAACGTCGTTGGTTTGTTTTTTTTTATTACTTTTGTAGATTTGAATTGTTTACCGAATTAGATTGCTTTTTCTTTCATTTGTGAAAGATATTTGATTCATTTGATTCATTTAAACATTTGTTTCCTTTCAATAAATCTTTATTTCTCTGAATAGCCAAAAAAAACAACTCAACAATTAGCTAAAATTCGAGAAATTTTTGCTAAATTGACAAAAAGAAAAATCAAAACTTTGTCTAATAGAGAAACAATGATCATTTCTACTTCAAAAAGATCAATAAAAAAGAAAACTAAATGAATTTTTGGGTGAAACAAAAGGAAAAATAACATTTTACCCATTTTGATATGTTTTTGTTTATATATAGAAAAGAAAATAAACAGTTTTTGAAAGTGATACCGCGTATTCTCCAAAGAGGAAAAAGGAGGACCTGGAAAATGCACAAAGAATGAAAAAAGAGAGAAAAGAGGACACCGAATTGTGCAGATTGTTTCTACCGGGGTTTTGTTTGAGAAAAGAGAAGGGAAATTTGAAGAAAATCGAGCTGAAGAGGATTTTGAGGGGGATTCCGTGGAGCTTTTAAATATTATCTTTAATCTCTTTACTAAATGACTGATTTTTAGCTTGAATGGATTACTGTAAGCATTATGAATAGCTAGCTAGCCTTATGATTACGGTAACTATACAATTTTACAAGAAGAACTTGTCTAGAAAAGGCTATTGGATCAAAAAAGGCTAAAAAAAGGCTAAAAAGAGCGAAATTGTTACGATTATTGTAGAATATTGACTTTAAATGCTAAAACTAAATGAAAATATTGGTTAAGGATTACGGTGTAGCTAGAGAGCTGCTAGCTTTTGAATTACGGTAGAATAACTACCGTAAATAAATACTGTAATAGTACCCCACCCGCATAATGACGGTGCGAAGTGTTGCGTAGTCTAGCTTTGAACGAGTTTTTCTCGACACTGGTTTATGCTACAATGCGCGCTTAGGTATCAAAAAATAGCCCTGAAATTCAGGGCTATTTTTTGATACCAAAGACGCATTTTTTGGAAGTACGGGCGCTTTGAAAAATACGAAATACTAAAAAACGACTACGCGACTGTACGAGGGCGGTGGGGTACTATTACAGTATTTACGGTAAGTATCTACCTCAGAACAAAATCTATTAGACTAAGATTTACGATAAAAAGCTTCTAAGCAAGATTACGGTAGAGTTTATCGTAATCCTTAACGTTTTACTTAGAGATTAACCTTAAAAACTTTGTTTTAAAGTTTCAAAGCTAATTCTTATGATCCACTTCTTTGTTTGACTAACTTTTGACCATTTTGGACCACTTTTAATCCGCTTTTGATCATTTTGAACGACTTTTGATCCGCTTTTGATCATTTTAGACCACTTTTGATCCACTTTTGATCATTTTAGACCATTTTTGATCGTTTTGGACCGCTTTTGAACCATTTTTGTTCCCTTTGAACCACTTTTGATCCACTTTTGATCCCTTTAATCAACTTCTTAGCTTCTAAATCAGTCAAACTTACATTTCAAATTCCCCTCGAAATCCCTTTTCAAGTTTTACAACCGTAATTTGGAGTACACTGTAAAGGAACAAGTAAAAGAAGAAAAAAACAGGAACAAGAGCTAACAAGAGCTAAGATAAAAGTCGGGAATATCACATAGTTGTGACTATTTTACTTTTGCACTATTGGAGTTGAAGAGTTGAAGATGAAAAAATGAGAAATAACGGAAAAAGGAAAATCAGCCTATTAGAAATTGGATACTCTGGCTAGCTGATGGAATTGAAATTGGAGATAATCAGAAGAAAAGCTAGACGAATGGATGATCGTTTCATTGTGGAAGACTACCTGAAAATGTAAAATTAAGAATTAATAATAAAAATTTTAATTTAATAGTAAAATTCTTAAAAATAAGTCAATTTCTAGCTCTTTTAGTTTTCGATTGGAAGCTTTAATAGCGAGATTTTGAGACCCCTGCGGCATGCAGCGATGGCCGAGTGGTTAAGGCGTTTGACTCGAAATCAAATGGGCTCTGCCCGCGTAGGTTCGAATCCTGCTCGCTGCGAAAACTTTTGTATTTTTGTCTTTCAATCTTTCTAATCTATTCTAATCCTATTTTTCTTATCCAACGTTTTAAAATCTTCTATTAAATCAGAAAGCTTTAGAATTTTAAATTCAAAAGCCGCTTTACCAAAAGAAACGACGAAACATGACCAAAGTCAAGAATTTTCAAGTTTTAACTACAAATTTGTAGCTTTTTCTCGATGAATTTGTGATTTTTTACTAAATTACCTGTTTCTATTCTTCAACTCGCGCTCATCGAGCCATTTGAAGGGTTGGCTCGGCATCGCATGGTGGATAAACGAGTTGACGATAGAGATCGAGTCGTTGCGAGGCTGTGAATGAAGTGTTCACGTAAACCGGTTGATTCAGTGGCACGCCTGATGCTGTAGAGCCTACAAATGTTGTTTTTTTTGACCTTTATAGATTTTTCTTTAGCTTTATACAGCTTTAAACAATACAAGCTCTGGTTTGAAATGGTGAAATTAAAGATTTAAAGGTGTTGTCATTGAGAATGAACTCTTTTTACGCAGAATTAAAATTAGAGGAAACAAAAGTTGCCTTACTATTGTCTATGTTCTTCTATATGAGAAAAATCAAAGCTTGTTAAGTATTTGAAAGAGTAGTACTTGTCAACCACCTTGTTGACTGTACTACTGTTTCATACATTCAGTCACCTCCTACAAGGAGCTGACTGCATGTCAACCTCCTTGTTGACTGAATGAGCTTTCTTAAAGCTTGTTGACTGAATGAGCTTTCTTAAAGCTTTCTTAAAGCTAAGTAGTTTGTCTAAAATCACAGTATCCTTTACTATTGCCTCTACCTAGTTTCTCTACAGTAAAACTGTTAACAAATTGATTCGTATAAATCATAAATCTGTTTACTCGAATCGTACAATTGTACAACGTTCAATTGTACTTTTTGTTCAATTGTATCATATTTCTTTTTGCTTTATTTTTTCTAGCTTTTTATCAACAGAAATACAGTATATTTGACAGTGGAAACAGTTCTTTTCTGGCAAACTTGGACAGGTTTTTCTTTAGTTTTTTAAACTAAAGGAAGCTTAAAGCTACCTCTTGCCCCGAAAAGTCCTCCACCAGCGTCACTGCCGAAACTCCCGCTGGATGATGAGGAGAGGTAGCTTCCGAATGGTGACTGAAATTTGAAAGCTTAGATTATGCCAGATTTTTATGCAAATTGCAAATTTCCATCTTCTTTACTGATTTAGTAATATTTTGATCTGCTTTTGAGCTACGGTAGCTAGATTTTTATGTAAATTTCCATCTTCTTTACTGATTTAGTAATATTTTGGTCTTCTTTTGGGCTACGGTAGCTAGATTTTATATAAATTTCCATCTTCTTTACTGATCTGTTAATATTTTGATCTCCTTTTGCACTACAGTAACTTTTAATCCCTTTTAGCTCACTTTTAGCTTTCAAAAGCTCATTTTCAAAAGGTCAGAAGTCACTAAAAGTTACTGTACTTCGCTTGTGCTTTGTGCTCATTGAAACGCACGTTTCTGGTACATTCAATTTCCGATTTGCAATGTGAATATGCCAAATGACGTGAGTTTTCAAACTCAAAATACATGCTTTTTACAGTTTTTAATTTTTTTCAGACTTTTCAAGCAAAATAGCTCAAAAACATTCATTTTCTGTAGCCAATATTCAATAAAATAATGTTTTTTAATAAAAAAAACCTTTTATAGACTATTGAATTGAATTTAAAAGCTTTAGATTCTCAAAAATCATCTCCGATCCCTAAAAGTTTGATCACCAAAACTTTTGACTGAAAAATTTCAGATTTCTCTGGTCAAAAAAAAAAATCTGTTTATGGTTGATTCGATTTCGGCGGGAAAACCCGAAAAAAAAATAGCACACACACAAATGTTGTTGTCAAGGTCGATTTGATCATTTCAATTCAGCCAAAAATGTAAAAAGAGTCGCTTTTTCACTTTAAAATGAACACGTTCTCTTTCGAAAGAAAAATAGACTGAGATTTGAGGGAATTTGAGAGATTTCAGATAGATTTGAGATAGATTTGAGAGCTTTCTTTTAGGGAAAGATCAAAAGAGATCTTTCTTTTAGGGAAAGATCTCTTTTGATCTTGAACTTGTCTAAAATTGAAGAGAAATCACGAGTTTCCGCGGAAATTAGCGGGTTTTATGGGAAATGGATTATAGCCAAACCAGCGGAAAACGATCTTTCTTTCTTTCAAATGACGAAAACTATCGTAACCCATCAAGCCCGGCCCCTTTTTAGAAATGGACCTAAAAGTCAGATTCTCGATAGCTGAAAACCCTCAGGAGTAAAATATCGCACGAAATATCAAAAGCTGAATACTTTGCCTGTGCCTGCTGAATACCGATAGAGCAAACGTAATTATAGAGCGTCGTGCACAGACGGACAGACAGATGGACAGACGGACATATGAACAGACAGACAAACAGACAGATAGATAGACAGACAAACAGACAGACGGACAGAAAGACGGACAGACAGACGGACAGACGGACAGATAGACAGACAAACAGACAGGCAGACAGAAAGACGGACAGACAGACGGACAGACGGACAGATAGACAGACAAACAGACAGGCAGACAGACAAACAGACAGATGGACAGACATACAGACAAACAAACAGACAGACAAACAGGCAGACAGACAAACAGACAGACAAAGCGACAAACAAACAGACCAACAAACAGACAGATAGACAGACATCTCTTCAGCTTTATATATAGTAAATGTTTGGAGTTTAACTTGATAGTAATTTGGGAGCAATTTAGTAGTAATTTGATAGTAATTTGTTACTAATTTGGTAGTGAAAGATCATTGTCCCAGAAAAGATTCATTTGTGGCCGTATTCTTTGTGCTCCGCTCTCCTAAACGCACCCTTTCTAGCACACTTCTTTCTCTGCCAAGAAGCAAGCGTTTCTTGAGAGTAAAATGCTTACTTTATGCCCTGCCAAACGCTCTTTTCCTAGGAGACTTTAGAGTGCAATATGTGGTACTAACTGGACTAAACTTGATATTCAAAAATTTGCCAATTCGACTTTTTTTTGGCTACATTTCTATCTAAAAATCTCAATTTTGTGATCGCGAAGAAAAAACTGAAATCTCGTTGAGATTTCTCAGCTCTCAGTTGCTTTTTCCTTGTTCAATCTCGTCGATTTGTGACCATGACCCGATTTCGAATCAATTTCGAATTTTTCCGGTTTCATTTCAATCAGAAAACACAAAATTTCCGTCTGGGGGAACTTCAGAAGAAGAAAATTAACAAAAAAGAAATTGTCGAATGGTTAATGGGGTGACATTTTGCGCTTAATTCTATCTAAATCCTATCTAAACCCTTAACAATTCTATTTCTTTCTCTCTTCTTTCTTCTTTCTCCTTCCTCTCTTCTTTCTCTCTTCTTTCTTCTCTCTTCTCTCTCTCTTCTTTCTCTCTTCTTTCTCTCTCTTTCTTCTTTCAACTCATTGATACTTTCAAATCACCAATTTCCTTTCAAAAAGCTCCAGAATTTCCGAAAATCATCAATTTTTGTTTAAAAAAACGGGAAATTGGCAATAATATCTGTGAAAAACGATTTGCAAAGCTGATTAAACTATTTTCAATTTATTTTCAATTTGTTTTTAATTTGTTTTCAATTTATTTTCAAATTACCTTCAAATTATCATTTAAAATCTAATTGGCGAATAAATTTTCTCGAAAATTCTCTTTTGGTGACTACAAAAATGAAATTTGAGACAGAAAAAAAAACTAGCTGAAGTGATTGCCTCCAAAAAAAACGCGTACAGATTTGTAGCGTAGTGAGATTTTCGTTGAAAGTACAATCTGGATCTGATTTCATTTGGAGATTTTAATTAATGAAAAAACAAATCACTTTTTGAATACAAATTACTGATCAATTTCTTTTCTTTGACTAGAATTTGGTCAAATTAAGACTTAGCTTTCAAATGAATCGTTTATCAAAAAGAATTTTCATATTTGAATCTGAATACTTCTTCGGAATGGTTCTGGAATGGAATGGAAACTATTGAGTTGAATTTAAGTTCCCGTAAATACTGTAATAGTACCACACCCGCATAATGACGGTGCGGAGTGTTGCGTAGTCTAGCTTTGAACGAGTTTTTCTCGACACTGGTTTATGCTACAATGCGCGCTTAGATATCAAAAAATAGCTGAAATTCAGGGCTTTTTTTTGATACCTATGTGAGCATTGTAGCGTAAACCAGTGTCGAGAAAAACTCGTTCAAAGCTAGACTACGCGAAACTCCGCACCGTCATTATGGGAGTGGGGTACTATTACAGTAAAAATCATTAAAAAAGTAGAATATTATTAGAGAATTTAACAAATCCTCTACAAAATCGCATTTAAAAGAAAACTTAAACAGCGCCTTTGCACAAGAAAAGCCTATGTTTAAGCAAAATCTATAAACTATCATCTAAAGAAACGATTGGAGGAATCTTCCTGAAAATTAGAGGGACTTATGCAATTCAATGTGCTCGATCTTTTTTTAAATAGATCCCCGCCCTTTAGCCATTGACAATCCAACTTTAAGGTCAATTAACTTGGTATTGGGTTGTCCAATTTCAATAGCTTTTCTACCAATCGACAGAGAAAGACTTGGCGCATCTAATGATACCAAAAATATTAGAATCAAACGGCTCAACACCAAGAGATTTGAGCTTAAAGTTGGATTGCCAATGGCAAAGGAGACATGGTGCGTATCAAATGTCCGGTATCAAAACTCGAGCTTGATTTAACAAGTTTGGTATTTAGTGCAATACTTAAACTAAATATTATAATCTTAATAACATTTTTGTACAATTTTGTACAATTTTGCTTTATCAAATCAACCATAGTTCTCCATAAACTCTCTAGAACCTTTTACAGATGAAATATTTCTTTTTTTAAATAAAACTAAAGCTTTCATAGGATTTTGAAAAGAAATTTGTTTAAATTTTCGATTTGTTTTTCATTTTTGCTCTCTTTTGCTCATTTTTGCTCATTTTTGCTCATTTTGCTAAGCCATTTACCGAGTGATCAGCCTCTCTGGCGGCGAGTCCTCCATTTAAAGCCATCGGTTCACACGCTTGTCTCAGCACCTCAGCAGATAGCATTTGATCGTCTGAAATGAATGAATTTGCAAACAAATACAAATAAAAACAATGGTTTTAAGAAAAGAAAAGAAGTAAAGAACATTGTGGGATTATTGGTTTTCAAGAAGTTTTTCTAAAAACATTTTGAAATTTGTTTAAAAACTTTAAAAACCTAAAAAAACCTTAAAAATTGACTTTTCCGTTTTCTTAAATACTTCATTTCACTCATTAGCTATTCAAAAGAAATTTCTTTTCATAGAGAATGTATTTTATAATTTAAAAAACTAATTTCAATCGTAATTTAAAATCCCAGGTGATTTTTAGAACTTTTTATAGAACTTTACAGTTTCTTTTTTGTCAAAAACAAACTTGATTTCAAAATTGGCAATTAGGAAATCGGCAATTAGGCAAAAAAAAAGACTTAAAAAGTTGATTGGTAGTTGATTTTTTTGGGAATTTGAGGGAATCGTTGTAAAGTGAACGTGTAAATTTCAAAAGAGTTAATAAATTTACAGAAAAAGCTGAAGAATTAGATAAAAGAGAGATTGAGCTTGAAGTTAGATTGCCAATGGCAAAGGGGGGCTTAGGGACTTATATACGCGCCCCGAGCCTCAGCATAATGACGGTGCGGAGTGTTGCGTAGTCTAGCTTTGAACGAGTTTTTCTCGACACTGGTTTATGCTACAATGCTCGTTTAGGTATCAAAAAATAGCTGAAATTCAGGGCTATTTTTTGATACCAAAGACGCATTTTTTGGAAGTACAGACGCTTAAAGTTGGATTGCCGATGGCAAAAGGGGCGGGACCATTGTGGGCCTTTTATACGCGCCCCGCCCTTTAGCCATTGACAATCTAACTTTAAGGTCAAATAACTTGGTATTGGGTTGTCGAATTTCAATAGTTTGTGTACCAATCGACAGAGAAAGACTTGGCGCATTTAATGATATCAAGGAGATCTAAATTGAACAATTGAACACCAAGATACTTCAGCTCAAAGTTTGCCAATGGGAAAAGGGCCCGGCGCGTCTCAAATTATTAGAATCAAACGGCTCAACACCCAGAGATTTGAGCTTGAAGTTAGATTGCCAATGGTAAAAGGGGCGGGGCCATTGTGGGCCTTTTATACGCGCCCCGCCCTTTAGCCATTGGCAATCTAACTTTAAGGTCAAATAACTTGGTATTGGGTTGTCCAATTTCAATAGTTTTTCTACCAATCGACAGAGAAAGACCTGGCGCATCTAATGAGGCAAAAAGGTTTAAAAAGTTGATTTCTTTGGGAATTTGAGGGAATCGTTGTAAAGTGAACGTGTAAATTACCAAAGAGTTAATAAATCTTACAGAAAAAGCTAAAGAATTAGATAAAAGAGAGATTTGAGAGAGTTTTCAGAGATTCGGAGATTCTAGGAAACTACAGGATCAGATTTTTCCTTAAAGCAATAAAGTAATTCTATAAAAACTTGATTTTTCTTGAAAAAAATCGACTTTTTGAGTCGATTTAATTACCAAATGGCTACCAAATGATTACCAATTGGTTTTCTTACATTTAATTTGATTAATTATATATTATATTCAACATTTAATTCACCAAATAACCAATTTTTTCATTACAAAGTAGCGTTTGAAGTTAATTACAAAGTAGGATTGCAAAAAATTGCGTTCTTTAGACTTTTCTCTTGTTTAATATACTCAAATCAATCAATTTCTTGTTGAAAGATCAATCAATTTCTTGAAAACAGTGTCCAAGTGTGCTTTTTTTCATTCAGAACATTGAAAGAATGCATAAAATTGGCTTGGCATCGAGTTTTTTTGGAAACTTGGGCAGCTACTTACTTCAAAAGCCTTCAAAAGCCTTCAAAAGCCTTCAAAAGCCTTCAAAAGCCTTCAAAAGCCTACAAACTTTTCTAATTTCATTCTCTAGTCCTTAAAAACTTGAATTTCTATTAGATTTAGTCGTTTTTAAAGCAAAATCTCGGCAAAAACTCTCAAAAAACTTCGATTTAATCATCTTTTTGAGTCAAAATTCACTAAAAAGCGTCAAAAACTTGGATTTCTAATGGATTTAATCATTCTTTTGAACCAAAATTCACTAAAAAACCTCAAAAACTTGGATTTCTTATGGATTTAATCATTCTTTTGAACCAAAATTCACTAAAAAACCTCAAAAAAGACTTTTTACAGAAGAATTCTAATCCCTTTCATCATCAAAAACTGAAAATTTTCAATTAAACAATTGTAAAGATTATCGAATAATGAATTGGATATAAATTTATGAATATCGTAAAGAAAAGGATTCGCAAAGTTGTTTATCAAATTTCCATACAAATTTCTATACAAATTTCGATATAGACGGATTAAGACGCAAATTTTGTTTGCGATTGGGAAATCCCGTTCAGCAGTCATCGGATTTCGTTCGGATTTAGAGATTTCTGAGGGAAAAATTGCGGGAAATCGGGTGGTTTTTCTTATTTTTCACAGAAAATCACGATTTCCTGCGATTTTCCGGTTTCCGGTGGTTTTCTGTGACCGCTTAACTAATCCGGACAGAAAAAATCAAGGCCAAGCGATGATTTTTCTCGAGTTAAGCCTAATCCTCTTGAATCTATCACAAATTTTTCAGTAAAATTTGCTAAAAATAAAGCGATAAGGGTGAATTCGGGTTTTTTTTTTGATAAACTTTTGCAAGAGAAATGAGAAACAAGTAAAATTGAGGCTTTTCGGCAAATCAAAGCGTAGATTCTCTTGAAAATTCGAGAATTTCATGGAAATTGATGGAAATTTAGGGAAATTTATGGAAATTTAGGTAGATTTGGGTAAATTTATGTAAACTTAGATAAATTTACATAAATCTAAATAAGATTTACACAAATTGACATGAAAAAGACAGGATTAAAGGGCAGATTTCAGGTATTGGTTTGGTGGAAAAGTCTTTTCTGCTTTTTGGGAGAGTACCTTAAGCTTGTGCTTGTGCCAATTTGCCAATTTTGACGTTTTTTAGCTCATCCTAAAGCTGAATTCAAGACGGATCGATTGGTAAAAACCGTTTTGAGATATCTCTTTTCTAAAGATTGATGGATTGATGACTAGAAGGGCCGCCAAGAAACCTCTGATGGTAGCTAAGCACCGGAAGCTTCGTCTCAAGTTTGCTAAGAAGTATCAAAGTTGGACGTCGCACGATTGGGCCAATGCCCGGCGCCTACTTATCAACTCCGGACAAGGACAGGGACAAATCCATCCGGACAAATTAGAGATAATAAACTCTTTAAATCTTTTAACCGTTTGCAAATTGGTCGGATTTAGACCAAGATATACAAAGAATAAACTTCTAAAAACCGACGTTAAAAGACTTTTGTCCATGACTGTAATATTTGAATTGTATTGGGTTGGTAAAAAAGAAATGCGCCAGAAAAGAAAGGTATTTAGAACCTAGATTTCAATCTATTGGGTTGATGGAAAAGTCCTTTCCGATTTTTTGGGAGAGTACCTTAAGCCTGTGCCAATTTTGACGTTTTTTAGCTCATCCTAAAGCTGAATTCAAGACGGATCGATTGGTAAAAACCGTTTTGAGATATCTCTTTTCTCAAAAGTTTTTACAGCTAAAATTTTAAGCTAAAGGGCGGAAGAGCCAAAAATTGGCTCTTTTTCACGTTTCGATTTATAGAATATTCGAATATTCGAATATCAATAGAATATTCGAAAAATGCTTTGTTTCAAGCAAAAATTCTGGAATGTTAGAATCGATTTGTTGAATTGAAGCTAAATTCGAGTTATTTTTGAAGTTTTAGATCGAAATTGAAGAGATTTAGAGGTAAAATTTGAAGAATAAGAAGACTTTCAAAGATCCGCCTTAAGTAGGATCTGTGGGAGTGTGATGCATTTCATCATTCACCCAACGAAGAAGGAAAAGAACAAGAAAATCTCCGGAAACAACAAGGCGATAGATCAGAAAAAAAAGAGAAAATAGAAATTCTAGAGAAAGATGAAAGAATTTTGCTCTCTTTTTTGCTGGTGGATCATCGCGTTTTCCTTTCTTTTCTTTTTAGATAAAGCGAAATCTTTCTCAATCTTTCTCACGTCATTTTTTTGGCGTTTATTCATCGAAATTCATCGAGATTTTACAATTCGATAGATTAGATAATGTGGAAAACTGAAAAATAGTTTTTTATCTTGAGAGCCGAGAAAAAAAAAAGATGAACATCATTTCCCGGAAAAGTGAGAAAGATCAAGTCTTTCCAAATTTAGGAATTGAAAACTCGAATTCGTGTGTTTTTCTGGGTCAATGGCAAAAGGTTTCATAAGTTTTTGACTCACAAAAAATGTTTTCAAACAAAATCAGTGAAAAATCTAAGTGTTAGATCGTAAATTGATTTTAATTAGATGATAAATTAGTGATCTACAGTAATCTGTCCATCAACAGTACGGTAATTCATCTATTGCCGAAGATTGTCGTATGATACAGTGCTTAGGCTACAGTAAGCTAGGACTAGACTCTATTGGAACCACAGTAACCCAAGCCTGGGGCCTCTAATGAACGGCTATTGCAATCCAAGGACTCAAAACTGGTCCAATACAGTGACCAAGGATTCAAAACTGGGCCAATATAGTAAACAAGGACTCAAAGCGGGCCAATATAGTAACCCGAAACTCAAAACTGGTCCAAAACAGTATCCAAGGACTCAAAACTGGTCCAATACAGTAATCAAGGACTCAAAACGGGCTAATATAGTAACCAAGGACTCAGAACTGGGCCAATACAGTAACCCAAGACCAAAAACCAAGCCAATATAGTAACTCGAGACTCAAAACTGGGCCAATACAGTAAGCAAGGACTCAAAACGGGCCAATATAGTAACCAAGGACTCAAAACTGGTCCAAAACAGTATCCAGGGACTCAAAACTGGTCCAAAACAGTGATCAATGACACAAAACGGGCCAATATAGTAACCAAGGACTCAAAACTGGGCCATTACAGTAACCCGAGACCAAAGACCAACCCAATACAGTAACCCAAGATCATTAAAACAT